GGTGGTCTTAAGGTAGATCCAGATAAGGTAAAAGCAATATTGGACATCCCGATACCACGGAATCAGAAGGAAGTCAGACAGTTTTGCGGGACGGCCAGTTGGTACCGTAGGTTTATACCTGATTTCGCAACCAGAATACATCCTTTAACAAGCCTTCTACGGAAGAAAGTTCCATTCAAATGGACCGCTGAGGCCCAGTCTGCTTTTAGGGATATAAGAGGATGCTTAGTTAAGGCCCCTATTTTGAGCTGTCCAGATTTTGACAAACCTTTCCTCATTTCGTGTGATGCTAGTGGGTTTGGATTAGGCGCTGTTTTAAGCCAAGAATTACCAGAAGGGGAGACAGTGATCGCTTATGCTAGTCGAGCCTTATCGAAAAATGAACAAAAATTCTCTGCTACCGAGAGAGAGTGCCTAGCAGTTGTGTGGGCGGTGGAAAAATTCAGAGCCTATGTGGAAGGTACAACTTTTACTGTCATAACGGACCACTACTCGTTACTCTGGCTACATAACCTAAAAGAACCTCAAGGAAGACTTGCACGGTGGGCTTTGCGCCTACAAGCTTTCGACTTCAAGATAGTTCACCGTAAGGGAAAAGAAAATGTGGTTCCAGATTTATTGTCCCGAACATCCAACCCATCAGTTGAAACCCCTAAAAGTTGTGGCTTAGTAATCCCGAACAATATAGAAGATAAATGGTACCTAAAAATGATTGGTCTAGTAAATTCTAGTCCAGAACGTTACCCGGTCTGGCGAACTGACAACCAACGGTTATGGAAATTCCTCCCAAATAATGATAAGTGTGATAGCGAGGAAGATGCGTGGAAATTGGTAATTCCTAAGGAACTGCGGAAAACAGTATTGGTCGAGTGTCATGATCTACCAACAGCTGGCCATCTTGGTTGTTACAAAACCTATCACCGTGTTAAACAAAAATATTATTGGCCTAAGATGCGCACTGATATTATGACCTACATTAGACGCTGTGAAACTTGTCAGAAGGTTAAATATGACCAAACAAAACCCACAGGTTTCATGGGTGTGCGTCGTGGAGTAGACAAACCATGGGAGATGATAAGTATGGACTTGTTAGGCCCTCTGCCGAGATCATCTAAGGGTAATAAATTCATCTTGGTAGTTACAGATATGTTTACGAAATTTGCCTTACTTTTTCCCATACGTGCCGCTACCGCTATTACAGTTGCCAACCTGGTAGAAGAACATGTTTTCCTTTTATTTGGAGTACCTCGTTACATAGTATGTGACAATGGTTCGGAATTCATCGGGAAACCAGTGAAGAAATTAGCAGAACAGTATCGAGTCAAAATGCTATTCAACCCCAGCCGTCATGCACAATCCAACCCTACTGAACGCACTAACAAAACCGTGCTAAGCATGATTCGTGCTTTTGTTCAAGAAGACCATCGTAAATGGGACGTAAATATTGCTCACCTGGCTTTCGCACTAAGGACAGCAGTTAATGAAACCACAGGTTATTCACCGGCCTACTTGAGTTATGGAAGAGAACCTTCAGCCTCCGGGGATGGATATCAACTTCTCAAGAGTCCAGACGAATTAGAAGAATTGCAAGATGTGAACCTACTATCCGAAAAACTAAGAAACCTTCAAAACATATATAAATTTGTTAAGGGTCAACTGGATAAAAGCCACGAGAAAAATGCCCAGCGGTATAACCTACGGCGGAGGGATCTTCAATTAAAAGTAAATGACTTGGTGTGGAAGCGAAATTTCACTCAATCTGATGCGGCTAACTACTACTCCAGTAAACTTACACCCAGATTTGTGGGACCATATAAAGTTGTGGAGAAACTGTCATCTAATGTGTACAAATTGGAGGATCAAGATGGAAAAGCAATTGGGAAGTGGCATATCTCAGACTTAAAGCCTTATATTAATTAATTTCTGGCAGTCAAGAAAATGTGGGACATTTTCTTAAGGAAAGGGGGTATTTGTAACGTTCCGAAGTGGATTCTCCTTTTTATTCAATCCTCTCAACAATGCTGAGACTGATCAACTCAGCTATGTTTATAAGCTGCATAAGCGCGCTATGCTGCCTGCCGTTTGAGACCAAAAAAAATACCCAAAATAAAAGAAGAGTTGACTCCGGATCTACACCAACTGGACTCAGTTTCCCCCCCCCTTGTTCCTTGGTTTTGGAAGTGAATCCTTTCGTCCTTCTTCTCTGAGACGACGGCCATGATACTTCATCCTTTTCTTGTCCTCCAAGATTCTCAACAACTGTCCCCGAACCCTAGCCTGGGATTTATGTGATCGGGGTGAGTCTGAATTTAAGTTAGTTAAATTATTTGTCCTTTTATTGTATTTTGTCTTTCTGTGTAATGTCAACGTTTGTGTTTAGGTTCAATTCATTTTGATTATTGAAATTGTCGAAACACTCGGCACGAGAAAACCAAAATGGACATGTCAGGGAAAAGTTTGTCCAAGCCTAAAGTGTAATTTTGTAAATTTCTGATACTTAGCCTTTCAAATTATGTATTTGTTTGGTGTTCCTACAGAGGGATAAACTTAGTTAAATTCTTTATTATGTGTTTTAAGCAAGAATAGTTGGAAAAAAGAGACTAGTCGTTGACTATCAAGTTTGGTTTTGACATGTCGCAATCTTAACATATTTTGGATTCAAAGACGAAGTAGTGAGGTTAAGGCCTAACAAACTTTTTGTATGTAAATAAATGTCCTGTTTTAGTATTTTTGTTGAATTTCTGTCAAATTAAAAATTGATTTTTGTGTTAAACTAAGATGTTTTAGGATATGGTTGCCTGCAGAATCATGGCAAGTTGAGCACATGGTTGGACCTTATTAGTTTAGGTTATTTTATTACAACCATAGGTTACAGGTATAGTTATTTTGATAGTGGATTACAGAAATGTTTGATTTAAAGGAAGTTTTAAATTCAATTTTGAATTTTGTTGGCTGGAATTTGGCTTAGGCCTAGTACCGTAACTTTTGTGGACACTTGAAAAAAAAAATAGAAAAAAAATGTAAAATAAATTAGCTCTAGCCAATCTTATGGTTATTTATTACTATTTCTTTGATTTATGATGTAAAAATTCAGTTGAAAGTGCCTAACCTAACCAAGATGCTTACTAGCTTGCTCACCCCATTGAAGTGCGCAATTACAAGACTGTTTCGCTATCTCCGTTTCGGAGTGAATGAACAATATAATTATTGACACTCCAACCTTGGTACCCGGCTAATTTTGCCTTTTGAGTGACTGAACTATTGCCTGTTCACAGAAGTTAGGCCTAGGTAGTGCAGTGCATCGTGTTAAACCATTCTAAGACTGAACTATTAGAACTCCTGTGGTTGACCTCATAGAACAAACATTTAGTGCTACTTAAACCCACATATCTTACCATTGCAACATTCTATTCCCTTTGGGTTGTACAGGGAGCAGTTACGGATCAGAGAGAGCAGTTACGGATCAGAGAGAGCAGTTACGGATCAGAGAGAGCAGTTACGGACCAGAGACGTTATTGGACTTCCAAGATCTGCCTATTGACGACCTCATCGCCGCTGCAGTGTCACTGTAACTGGCCACTGAAGTCTACCCTACCAACCGTTGGACGATCCGACCCTATCGCCATGGAGACTCTGGGCCCGAGATTCGACTGGATGTGAAAACGATAAGTCCTAGGCCTAAGTTAACTTACTGTGTGCAGGCAAAATCTTTTCTGTTTCAATTTGAGCCGTCCCATTATCAACAGAACAGAAGACTGAGTGCACCCTGCCCGTTTTGTGGAGTGTTAGGTTAGGTTAGGTTGGACGCTCCGTTTCTGAAGAAGCAACGTAGGTTAAGCAACATTCATCGTAATATTTATATTTATTTGTATCATTGTTTCATTGTGTATTATATTGTGTTTATTCCAGGTGGCCACCTAAATTCATGAAAATATTGTCTGAAATTTAATCATTTAATTTACTGTAGGAATGTGTTAGGTTCTGGTTAGGCCTAGTGTATGTAAATAGTAACCTGTTTAAATCCCACATTCTAATTTGTTAACTTGTCAGTGTTTATTTAAATCGTTTGTTTCATGTTCCAATATTTTTGAGATTTAATACTCAGCAACTTAAATTTGTTTCATGTTTTCGAATATTTGAGATTAGTAAATTTAGTAAATTGTTTCTTGTTACATTGAAGGGTCTTTTCTTGTTATTATTGTCCATGTTTTGAACCACTCGGTACTTGAGAATATTTTTTTGGTTAAGGAATTGTTTCTGCCTTTTGTACTGATATTAATTGAGTTCGTAAATTTTGAACCACATTTCAATTCCTTGTATTGTCAATAGTTGAATTTTTCTCTAGTAAACTTGTATTTTGTAACTTGTATTTGTATTGAATTATTGATTCCCATTCTAGTTTTAAGTCATGCATTTCCCCTTGATAACATGGATCAGTATCCACACACCTAGGTAGGCCTAACAGAATTTTAGGTTTTTACGCTCACAGTTACCTCTAGATCTTGAGGTTAGGGTACATTTTAGTAATTTTAGATTGTAAGGTGTGTTCATTTTGGTCACGTAAAACTTGTTCTTTTGTCGTATTCGCGTCTTTCGTAATCAGGCTCACCTTTCGGTCACCTAAATACCAGGCAACCGTCCAACCCGCTAGGAATTCCCTTTCCTCATTAATGGAACTCCCCCCTACCCTAAGGCAAATGAGGTGGCGCCCTGTGACTACAAGGTGAACTGAATACAAGACTGAAAATACAATTAGGCAACACCCTCGACCCAAACCGACTGACTTGGCAATTCATGTAACTCCCTTTGGGAGGTTACAGTATATATCACGGTGACGCGCACGGCTCAGTAGGTTCCCAGAAGCTAAGATTAGAGTAATGGTGTAATGCTTAGTCAAATTACCGTCACAAACAATGGTAGGTAGCTAAAACTAAAACCTTAAAATGGTGTAAATTCTAAATAAATTATCTGATTGATTTAATGATGTTGTGTTCTGACAGTTCTGAGGGAGAGGCTCAATCATCGTCAATTTGTTACAACACGGACTACCGCATGTTTGAGAGCCAGTGGTCAGAGCAGGGCCGAGACTCGGACTCTGATGGTAATCCTCTCTGCTCGCATGCTAGTACGTGGGGACAAAATACACTTTATTTCTCATGTCTTCTTTTGTAATCAGAAGTTTATAAATTTTAAGAGTTGGAGATAAGTTCAAGCTTTGATTGTGGATTGAACTAGACATTTCATTCCCACGGTAAAGCTGTGGCCTGGTTTAGAATAATAATGGACAAAGTTGAAACGAGCCACCAATAATGTGCGCTGGTGTAGAATACTGATTTCTATGAACACGCTGAATGTTTAATATAGCCAAAATGAACGGACAGCTTATGTTAAATTCCATCATATTTATATTACATGAACAATATGCCAGTAACAAAAAATAAGGGAGAAATAGCATTTTAGACTGTAGCGCAATCTATGGGTCCCTCATTCAACTATTTTATATTTATTTTTTTTTTTTACTGGTTACTAATGTGATGTCTACTTCATTATCCTAAATTCAATGTTAGAGTTAGATACCATACTAATGTACGTATTGTACTAGGCCTAGATATTGTTTTAATAACATCACGTGTGCTATCAGTTTTGTATGAGGTGGCATTAAAAGTGGACATTTTTGGAATAACACATACAAAATGAGTTGTTGATTTTTATTTCTTTTAAATTTAACTAATGATATTTTGGCATAAGGAAGGCTTCATTTTGCAATTAGTAGCTAGAGCTGATAGGCTAGTGTTGTAATGAAACAGCAGTTGACTTGGCCAAATTTCATCTAATTAAATTCTAACCTAGAAAAATTTGACACAACTTTTTAATGTCAGTTGAATGTTTGATTCGCATTATTGTATACTTGCCATATATATATTTTTTAATTGTAATTATTTAGAATATTTATTCATCAATGAAAGAGAATGTAAATTGTCAAATAGTTTTTTTTTTTTTTTTTTTTTTTTTTAGATAACCTCAGCATGGTAAATCTTTTAGTTATAAAAGCAAATGTATGACCCAGGTTCTGGAGATGAAGTTGAAGTGGAATCTGAAGTTTCTGACATGTCGGTAGAAGGTGATGATGAAGATCTAGCGAATATGCCTGAAAAGTATCTAATTTTCACTACAGGATCAAAAACATACACACCTCATCAGATCGGTAATTAATAAATTATAATTGCATGTTAACATTTCTATATAAACACATAGATCAAGTATATTCCATGAAAAAGCAATGCTTGTTGGTAAAGATATTGTGTATTATAATATCTTGGAATTTTATTTTTTTACTACAACGATCACTTGAGTAAGACAGTGACATACTTTGTGTATGTATTTTAACCTGAACAAGAATGCAGTCTGAGTTTAAATTAAGTGAATGATCTGTATTTTCACTGACTTAGACCAGCTGTTTTTTCATCCAGAATATTTTATCAAAAGCCCAAGCTGTATCAAAAGCTTGTATCAAAGATGACACCTGAATCCAGTTTTGAAAAATAAAAAAGCTTCTGACTTTTAGGATTGAATAGGGAACCTCATAATATATGTTCCTACAGGTTTAAAGAGGATCAAGCCGGTGTCCTTTCCACCTGTTCTGCCTCCCGGGGCCTCGCTGCAGGAGCGACTAGCTGAGCGTAGGGAGAGACGACAGCGGGAGAGAGAGAGGGAAGACGCAGGGTTCCCTCCCCCACCTGACCCTGACTGGCTGGACTACGCTGCTGTAGCTGACAGGTTTGACACCATAGACCACGTCATAGATCTGCACGGCCACATCATCGGCATGGGGCTCTCTCCTGACCATCGGTATGTCTACTACATCATTCATATTTATTTGTACTTGCTATGAACTTTTATAAAGTATGTGAGAGAACACAATGAATATAAACCATGTACTACAACTTGGAACATTTAAATATAAAACTTCTTTTAAGACACGCTGTAAATTAAAAAAAATTAAGTTCATCAGACGTTCATATTTATTTGATAATCCTAACCATCATATGTTTTTTTACATAAATATGTTTACGAAATCATAAAAAAAAGAACTACCGATAGAGAAAAGTTTGTACTTCAATGTAAAAATCAAGCAGGTACAACATTAGAATAAAATGTGCGAAGTGTTGAATCAAGTTACCTTTTAAGGAATTTAAAGACCTAATAAATGCTTTGATTTAACATGTAATTTTTTCCATTTGTAGAAGTAGACATCCCATTTCCATGTTAAAATTGTAGCCAGTGTTAGAATGAAAAGTGAACGTAGTTGAATTGAATTCAATTAAGTAAGATAGTGTTGCAGTCAATAAGTACGGATTTCTGTCTGTTACGCCAACTTAACCAAGCCAAACAAAACTATAGCATCTTTGATGTCACATTACTTATCCCATTATCAAAAATCAAGGGGAAAAAAGGATTTTCACTCTAGTCCACGCTGTGCAAGGCTCATTTAGCTGTTGTAGTTGAATGAACCATTGGCTACCAGCTACACCAGCACTTTTTGTCGACAAGATGACTACTTTGTTATCCAAAGGTCAATAATATAACTTGAGAGAAGGAGTAAGCACTTGTGAAAAGTGACATGGGTCTTATAGGATTTCTCTTCTCAAAAGTCTCAAATATGTTCAGAAATAAATATAGTTAATCAACTAAATAAGCTATTATTATTGTGAAAAAATTTCATTGAGGATTTGTTGATAGGTTCCTCTACGTCAACAGCAGGCCGTGGCCGAGCGGCTACCGCATCAAGAACCCTCTCGACCCTCCTCCGATCGCCCAAGAGATTGATATCCACGTGATCGACCTCGTGACCCTTAAGGAGGTGGGCACCATGCTGCGAGCCCACAAGGCGTACACTCCTAACAACGATTGCTTCTTCATCTTCTTGGATGTTTGCGACCACTATGTGGCGAGGTCAGATTTAATTAAGGTTTTACTTATTCCTTGCATATTACTTGCAGGATGCTTACCTGCTTGAAAACTTTGCATCTGGTGGTTAAAACAAAACAAAATTTAATTAGCAACTATCTTATTATGTTGCCTTTATTCTTGCTTTATAGTTGTATACAACTTACAACCACTGAACTAACGCAACAAAACATTGACACTTATTCAGGGCCAATGAAAAATAACTGTAATGTTTATAACATCTGTGTAGCCTATTATATTAAACTTATTTGGGTAAAATTCTGTCTCGTAGACATCATTCACCATTGTATATCAATGATATCTGACCCGCTCCCCCAATGATGTCTTAAATTTGATTGCCTTTCAATCAGCCTCTTTTATCATTATTGTTGGGGTGTTTTGCAGTGGTGCGGAAGACAAACATGGCTACTTGTGGGACCGTCACTACGGCGTCTGTCTCGCCAAGTACCCCCACACTGATGTTGTCAACTCTGTAGCCTTTAACCCTCGAGATAGCAACATGCTGGTTACCACTTCTGACGACTACACCGTCAAGGTAGCTGTGTAAACAGTTTTTAGTAGTGATTTAGTGATACGTATATTACACTAGTTTTGAGAGATCTTTCATATTATAATGGAATTGGTTGTTTTTTTATTATTTTTTAAATTTATAGCCATTTATGCTTGTGTTGTATTGAATTTTTTATTCACTTTTTATTTACTTTTGACATTGGCTTTCAACCATCCAATAGGACTCTCAACCAAGGTATGTTTATGTTTGGGAATATAGAGAAAAGACATGGCAGGGCTACTTGACAACTTACAGAAACTCATTGGTTTTGTCTACCCTTTTGGCCCATCGTTCACCCCAATGCATACCAGAAACAGCTGTCTCTATTTCTATATTTATGGATTTAATTATGCATACAACCAATTTTCATGAAGTTGAGTTAACTAGGGATTCCTTTTTATGTAGTAAAAAAGTATTATGAACCAAGTATGTTTTAAAACCATCCAATCTGAAGAATTTGAGGTACCGTAGTGCTCTTGTGTCATAAAAAAAATTTGTAAAACAACAATAGATAAACTAGTTCTAAGGATGTGGAAATTTGTCTGAAGTTGAAGATGAAGCACATGGATCTAGTTTCCAAGGATTTTTCAACTCAAACCTTAGTTACGAAAATCAGTGACCGTGAAGTAGTCTAATTTTTTGTGTACTGTTAAATTTTGATTCAATCGCCAAATTAGACTTTCCCCTTCAGGTAAGCATGCAATACTCACAAAAACTATTAAAACCTAGGTCCTTGTGCTCTACTTTACATCCTGAAAGTGACTTTTATGTGAAGGTATGGCGCTCTCGAGCAAGGCTGGAGGGTCTACTGGGAGTCGCAAGGACCAACAATCTCCCACGAGCAGTGAAGGGACATCAACGCAACTCTCGGTGCAACATGAAGAAGTGTGTAACTTTGTAAACTGAACTTTCATAACTGGATAGGTCAACATATATTTTGGAATCCCTCATCAATATTGACACCATAAATAATTTCTCCCATTTTTGTGTGTATTGTTTGATTTTATGCTATTTGTACTGTTGAGTGTCAGGAGTTCATTTTGATTTCCCACCGATGGTGTGAACTAAGATAATTGTGTGAAATTTTGACATTCATGGATTTAAATAAAATAAGGACAGTTACGATCCTTTTTGAGAAATTCCAGACAAATGTATTTTGGAGTATTTACTTTGTCTAATACTGTATACCTAATAAATCTAATACATCATTAATATCAATGCTATTGTGAATTTTTAAGTCAATAGTTTTTCCCAAAGAAGGAATCTTCGAGACTCAACTGTACAATGTGCTTATAATCACTTTTTACACTATGATTTTGATCCTCTGATTGTTCTATAACACCTAGATTTTAAGGATTCCAAAGTACCATGTTAAATTTACGATCTGTAGGGAAGGAGGTTACAACCACATCTTTTGGATATATTATTAATTATTCCTGAGTATCTATTTAAACTTATTTAATACGCAAGCAGGTTTTTTGTGACAATTACTCCTCCGAAACTACTGAACTGATTGACATGATTTTAGTGTCATTGGAAAGAGCGTAATGTGAAGTTGTGCAGGAAACTTTCTTTTTAGGAAAATAATTAGAGAGTGAGGCCTGGAGCCCTTAAAAGTTTTGTATTTCTCCATAAGATTAACATGGGAAATAAAACAAACATTGTTATGAAACCAGCTGTTGTCAGAAATTAAAAGTGAGAAGATGAACATATGTTAATTGTAAACAGTCAATGTGTAAATTATCTAGAAGATAAACATGGACAACCTAATGCGGCTGTAAAAGGGAAACATTATTAGAAACACTAAAAACAAGATCAGCCTTTGAAAAATGATATTTACAAGAAATGTTGATTACATTAACCTGTTATGCACATTGCGAGTATTCCCATTAGTTAAATAAACATAGATTAGTTTGAGTTGACTCTTTTAAACTCATCGATAATTATTATCGTCAGTCGTTTTCAAGCAACTCCTGTAATACTTTACAATTGCTCGATTTCGAGCAACATGTACACTAGTGTATTTTTAATTTCCAAATCCATTGTGATAGGTTCGCACAAATGTTTGTTAATTTTAAATCAATTATCAGTCAATCAATCAGTTGTTTAATTTTTCATTGCTTTTGGAAGGTCCTTTTAATTTGTTGCATTGTGTTTATTTTTTTTTTTATATTACAAACCTGAATCTCAACTCCAGCATTGGAATAAGTAATTTATGGTCTTGAAAACCTATTTTGCTCGTGAGATACTACGGCTTGAGAAATTGCCCGTGTTTTGTACTTGAAAATATTAACTCTTGAATTGTACATACCCGTCTCATAAACCGTCCTGAAGTGAAAAGTCAATGAAAATATTTCTTACAGCTATATCTCATATCTTATCTGCATGACTTTCCAGTTAACATTAATTTAATATTCTACAGTTGTGAATTAAACCAACCATTAGCAGGATTGTAAACAATGTTACCTATACACTATATCAAACAATAGGCTAATTTAACGGTTAAAAAACTGTAGTTTGAAATATTTTACACAATCTCAAAACCATTTTTTAGTAAAACCTATTTACATTATATCTGAACAGTTTAGGATCGCATTGGATAATTTTTATGTAGCATTTGACTTGTTTTACGATTCAGTTGTAAAATTCATAGTTCAACATATACTTGTTAAATTCAAAATGTTAGTCTTTTATGAAAATGGCTCCAAATCACCAACCCCAAATACCAGCTTTGTGTGTCGTTTTCAACATGTTTAGTGTTTAACAATTTTTACCTAGAACCGTGTTTTTAACTAGCCATTTCAGTTCAGTTCTTAGAATTGAAAAGATTCACTTAACAGCACCGTTTTACTTAACTACACGAGTAACGGACCAATAAGGTTCAAGAATTGAGAGAAATTAAGTAAAATTGTAATGCTTCGAACTTCTTTTGGAAGTTATGAGTAGTGATTGTAATTAAAAAACCGTTGTAGGTAAAATAGTGTACACAACTCACGTAAATAGTCTTTATGCGATCCTTGCGTAAACTACTATAACCTGTTGGTTTTGGAAACCAATGAGAAACCCCAAGAAATTTTTGGACTTTTTGAAGAATACTCATGATTTGACCCCAATGGGAAAACTTTGTTCCTTTATTGTTAGTCACATTTCTGGGTAGAATTGTAGATATTTTGTAACTAGTATAAGATATTCATTAAAGTCATATTAGTGTTGGCTACTTTAAATAGTTTAGTGTGAAGTTTTACTGTTGTAGATGTAAAAATTTAAGTCTTGTTGATGTATTTTGAATACATATAAATATTTTAGTTTTAAATCAAATTTAGGAACGAGGAACAGTTTTTGTTTGCTCTTAGCACGGTGTCACATTGGTTTATTTTAATGAGGTTTCATAGAAAAATAACCACTGGCTGGTCGACTAGTTTCCTCTCTAGTATATTGCCTCCGGCAACTATGAAAATGTAAAGTGGGTAAGAGAGCTGTATCCTTCACAACACAGTTTTACTAAAAGCATTGGCTACCTACTTAAGGACACACCCCATCTATAAGAATCGGATGTACCGAGCTTTTTTTACTGAAAGAGATCATAGACAAGGTTTTATAAACTGTGATAATAATACAGTTATATTTTATCTTTCATTCTATGTTTACTAAAGGCACAGAAAATATGCCATAACCTAGTTCAAAATACACTTCCCTTTCCGTTAAAGATTGTTTAAGGTGTACAGTGAATAATACAGTATTTTAAACAGCTCAATCTGTAGATGGCTAAACTGTACCGTAATTACCTTTTATTGTATGTTTTCATTATAAAACTGGATATAACTTAACACGGGGAGAATATGTCCAGTTCAAATTAGTGTATCTATAGTTAAAGAACAATGAGCTCGCTCAGAGTTATGTGATGGTTATACAAATACCCAATTCATCTACAACCAATAACAATCCTTAGCTCTTTATATTGCTGTACACCATTCATTACTACCTTCACAGTTTTTGTGAAGTTTATATTAAACACCCAAACTATTTATCTGTCTATTTGTTTATGTATCAGTAAATCAGAATAATTTTAGCTATTTAGATTAAAACTATTTGAGTTCTGATAAACTCAGACATGTTGTTATCCAAGCCTTTTTTTTTAGAGCTGTCAATGTAAAAATTCTGTATGTGCAATAGTATATTTCGTACCTAGGGCCGAAAATGAGGTTTTGCCGGCTCGAGATAGTTTTTAAGTTCGAGACGAAGTCGAGAACTTAAATCGATCGAGAGCTGCAAAACCATTTCGGTCCGTGGTACGAACGCTATTTTTCACCACACTATACCCTATTGACACTATTCACCACTAAAATAATGCATACTAATAGTCAACACAACTACAACTAAGGTTATGGGAAGAAATAATTTGAGGAATCAGCAAAAATAAAAATAAATAGTTGCTAGGCAACGGTGACAATAACACAATTCTATTGCAATGCTACGGATTTTGATTGTGTATTTCAAATGCATTCACGTTTTAAGTAAGTAAGCAGACAGCTGATTTTGCGGCCCCGGCCTGTAAAAACCTGCTCGGTCCCCAAATTACGATGACAGCTGGCAAGGACAGCAAAACGTAACTTTCAGCCACCAATTAACGTATGTAATACAGCCAAAAACATCATCGTGTGGTGAAAAATTCTTTACCCTACCTTACCTACTTTGTTTTGACTTGCCCTTTATGTCTAAGAAAATAACACACATTCACCAACAAGTTACTATATAGTAGACAGCATAAAAATAATTCAATAAAAGTTGATTAGATGTTCAGATTTCTGTGGTATTTAATTGCTGTAACAAACAGCTGTTATAATTTCTATAGGGCCATTTTGTGCAGTCTTTTCTAGATTTGTTATTCTTTACTTAAATACAAAAGATGTTTTTTTTTTTTACTTTCTTTGCTTGGATACAACATTGTACTTTTATACAGTATATAACCCGTGTGTGGGATGGTCACACAATTGTTCATAAAATTTCTTAGTTGCGTTGTTCTATGTCTCTAATAATGATTACTGTATATGATTGTTTATGGGATTGAATAAATGCATTCAAATATAGATACAAGCTTAGCTGCGTTCAAACAAAGTTTCACGTTTTAAGCATATTTAACAAACTTATAATATAATTAGCATGCTTATAAATTTGCATCTGGTATCAAATTCCATAGTAATTTCAAATTTGGTTTGATTTGTAGGTTGTGGACTAGATGAATTTAATTTTTTTTTCTAGTATTAAGTATTTTTATCAGATTGAAAATCTGGTTGTTTACCATTCTTGTACATAGCTTCATCTGTAAAATACAGAATAATGAAAGTGTTTTGAGGCGTCCATCTTATTATTGTTTATTGGCATCAAGTGAAGAAATAAAATACTTTTGTTATATTTGTTGATTATGTTAAATACCCCTTCTAACTAAAAACAACCACCTTTTACTTTACAAATAAATAGTTTTGAACTGTTCATTCTACAGGTTTAAGCTGTCTCAGTAAATAATAAATGTTAATATACTCATTATTATCTTAACAATTAACTAGTTATCATAACGATCAAATTTATGTTTGCGAGTATTTTTATGTCAATTGTAAGTGTATCAAACAGTAAAAGTATGTCTGAAAGAAGCTGACTAAGGGTAAACAGTAAAAGTGATTGTTAATTTTTTTCAAAAGATAAAAATAATAAGAGTGAGTTATATTGACAAACCTTTATAAACAATAACTTTATTCAGGCAGTTTTGTTGTAACAGAAAGTTTTTATCAATGCCCAACATGAACAAGATACCAAATGGGTTCTCAAATCTACGAGAAAAAAAATTTTTTAAAGGTAGGTAGGCTCTTTTAACCTAGCATTTACACATGGGCCACAGAGGCCTGTGCATGGAACCTTTGTAACGCAAGCTGAGACTAGACACACGACCGACACGCGTCTACATGTTCCGCGTTTTAATAACAGTAGGCCTACCGCGCAGTTATTTGTTTTTAATCGTCAATGTAATGTTTTTGTGTAATGTGTATGTGTCTACAAACTTCAAGACGCACCCGTAATGGTGAAGTTCAAGGACTTATATTAGGACTGATGATGGCGATATAATTCGCCGAAATGCATCTTCTGTGAAGGATACCATAGGATAGACACAGGTAATTTAACCTTTTTGACCATTCATAATTCACTTTTAAATTCTATAAATGCATATTTGTGAATAATTTACAAAACAAACACACATCATTGACATTCTCAATAGGAATTTTGCCAACAAGTTTTACCTTATATATTTTTATTGTGATAGAAAGAAAAGGCTGATATTCATCCAAGCATCAATAAAATTCTGAGAACCATTTATTTACACTCTTAAATTTTACAAGCTTTCTAATCAAAAATAAAATTATTCACTAAGCCTATATACAAATGCATAAAATATTTTCTTTTAGACTCAAATTAGAATATTTCACAATTATTAAGGATTTAAGTAGTAATGAAATATATCTTATCACAGTTCATATTTTCATAGTTATTGAACATTCCCATACAAGCTACACACATACATACTTTGAGCAAAATACACTTTCAAAAAAATGTCCTCATCGATGCAAGTTTATAATGATATCAAGGTAAATATTTTACGTTTGATAAAACTATAACTCTTTGACAGTAATCTAAATGGCAAATAATAATAAATTTTGAAAGCAATAATATACAAACAAGTTATCACAACATAGGCTATTTATTATTAAAATATACGACAACAACCTATAATGACTTTATTATAAAAATGGAATGACAGTAGATTTTCAATAAAATATATTTAATTGGGTTATAAATTCCTAATTTCCAATAATTTGAAATTTTTTTATCATTTTTGTCATACTGCAGCAAAATGCATTGCAGGTCTAAATGCTCACTAGGGAGAAAAAAGCCTTCAGGCAAAAAGTGACTATTCAACCCACCCTCAGTTTCCAAAACTTGGGTTCAAGTAAAAAAAAGAGTCACTTTATGCCCTAGTTATATTTGTTTGGTTCAGTATTTTATTCTAAACCTATTTGTCTGACTATGACACAAATTTATATGTTTCATTGACTATTTTGATGAAAAGCAAATCAAATTTCATTATATTAAGCTTGAATATTAGAGATAACATTTTGATTTTCTTTACAATACCATAAATGGTAAATTATTGTGTGAAATAGAAGCTAAAACTAACAATAAATTCTTGAATAGACGTTCTATTAATATTTTGGGTACTAAAAATATTTATTCAATAAACTACATGAAATAAAAATTGTTTGAAAAATATAAAATTATTCAAAACTAAGTCATATAAAATTATCTGTGATAATTGCAACAAATAAATAAGACAAACAGCACACAAATTACAATATAATGAAATTATAAACAAATTAAATTGATACTAATTTGACAAAATACTAGTTCCTAAAAATGGATTACCTGTTACACATTGCTGGGCAAATGATTTCAATAATTTAATATACATTTTAAATGAGGCAGTAAGTTTTAACTTAATAAAAAAAAGTTTTTAAATATGTCAATTCTGTTTTAACACGTTTGCTGTGTTGTATATTTTCATGCATTATTCCAATGGTGCGTTACGAGATCTATAGGTCTCGTCCGCTATAATTATGCCTACCCAAGTGCGATACGAGACCCCGAGATTACGTTGCGCAGAAATCATTTGTACATCATAACCTCACAAAGAAAAGAGAGCGCTCTGTGTTTGTTTATTTGAACCGGTACCGTACAATGTTGACAACCTTCAGCCAGCCCAGGAACTGAATATGACAAGATTGTACAAGACCCTGGGATCTCACAGCTATACGTTAATTATTTATTTGTATTAATTTCTCTCATACAATGAAACATTATAAAAATATGTGATTTCTAATTATTTACAATTTCCTAATAATCATAACCGTAAAAAATGGATATTTTATCTTTCTATTATCACTTTTCATAATGATACGTTTCCTTATGGCTGATTTCAGGCTAAATAAAATAAAAATGAAAAAAATATGTTTACAAATTATTAATTTTGTTATAATTTTTGGGTTTGGCAATGACCTCGAAATGAGCACGAGCCACAGTGGAACGAGTATGGCAGGGGTGGGCGCGAGCTATATTTAGACTTGCTAGGGGGAATCCAATCGCAGGACAATGATACAAAGTTGTTTTTTTTTAAATTCCTTGCCCGGTTTGACTTTTGATTGTCTTTTTCCGCGTAGAAACTTTGAATCATTAAAAATATAATTTGAGTTAACCAAGCATTGATTTTATATGAAATGCTAGGGACTAGAGGAATGTTCCAATTCAAATTAATGCTATGATTTGCATTTTTATACCAAAATCCAACATTGCGCAATGACGGTATTTTAGGTTATTGACCTTAATTAACGCATCCAGTAGTGCTGTTTCAGAAGAAAAGCACGTTGTTAATTATAAATTACTGTTCCCGTAGTTGAAAACTATTAATTATCTTGTAAATGTATAAAACATTAGATAACTCATAAAGATAAGAACATACATCATTATTCTTTCTCATAGTTCTTCCATTCTTTCTTGGGTTTCATTTCATTCACATTTAACAAGTTGCCATGGTTACTAATCACGCCATTAGCCTCCTGTGGTGCTTGAAACAACTATTTTTGATACGACATCCAGAGGTCTCGTATGGTAATAAAGGAAAAATTTATAACTTCAGTGCATTATCTCTTTTAGATATCTATTCATCTCGTTAATTTCTTGTTTACTAGCTGTTTCATCAATAAAAATGCATTACTTATGTACAAGTTTCATTTCTTTACGATAACTATACGCTGAAATATCAATGTCATAAATTAAGGGAAAAAGTAAAATTATGGGTCCCGCACTAAGAGGTAGGTACGATTCGAGACCTCGAGATCTCGTAACACAGGGAACGTGTTGAAATATAGGCCTATGTTTTTGCTTAACTAATCTTTATAATATAAGTTCATCAAATTACCATATATGGTTGTTATTTTCAGTTTGGAAATTACAAAAATATGATTTATGACTAGGTTGATTTATCACATGGCTTAGTTTCGTAGAAGTAGATGAATGCGGGAAACCAAAAAAATTTTAAGGAAGCAGATCTTTAAAGAGATAACATCTGAGAAAAAAATCTGAGAAAATTTAAAGAGTCCAGGGGGAAATAGATTCACATAAAAGGTTACAGAACATAACACTGATATTTCATCTAAATTAGGCTTCTTCGGTAATTAGATTGAATAAGAAAAGAGAGAATAAATATATCTTCAATCTACCCGGTTAGGACATAACATAAGTTTTATGTTTTGCAACATGTTTTTGTGTAACTTTTAGCCCTTGGACTCTTACTTTTCTCAGATAAGCTAGCTGAACTCAACCCCTTCTAGGTGTACACTATTCACAATTTACCAATAGTGACACTCAAAAGAACTTTTTACAACTGCATTGTGTTTTACACAAGGCGTTCAAAGTAGAAAGAAGAATCCAACACTGTTTGACAGTTGGGTATTCATTGTATGAATCTTGTAAATCCATCTACTTCTACAGTTACGGAGAGGTGGTAGTTTACGAGGGAGAGGTGAACAGCAGTGAGAAGGCGTAAGCTGCTGAGCTGCGTACTTCTCTCTCGGGATCCTTTACTTGCTGAAGTAGCCTCATAGTTATTGTCTCCAGAGCGACACGTTCACGCACGTAGCTGGGAGAGTTGCTGTATAGGGCTCCTGCACAAATATAGAAAAAATTAGGAACAAAAGTAGATTTGAGTTTTTTGAGGATACCTGAATGGGAGAGAGTTCACTCTGGCCAAAGAAACAACAATTTAGCTGATGTACAACAATTTAGAAGATTTTAGCTGGAGAAATATTCTAATTTTTGTACAGTTTTGTGTTTATTATGGAGAAAACGCTACTTCCATTCACTTTTATTGATAACTACCAATAACTTAAATAAACTTCAAAAATATTTCATGAAAGTATTTACCAATAAACAATGCAGAGCCAGCTCTAATGGAAGGCCAGGAACTTTTACCATAACTTAGAGCTGTGGTGATCATCACTGGTATTTGGTCAGTCATTTCTTCAACCTTAAGAAACATATCAGTTGATTAAAAAGAGGAAACTTCTATAGTAATATTAATTAATGATTTAGCATATTCCATGGAGGATTTAAAATTACTACTTTGCATGTGTTGTCACAGGGTATATGATAACAGAGTAGAGTAAGTTATCACTTCAAAGCTATGCTGTAGAAAACTCAGAATTTAATATGTTCCTGCATCCGGGGAGCAAGCTCGTCTAGTGTTAGAGCATGTGGCTTCAGTGCCTGAGGTCTCAGGTTCAAATCCTGCCAATCACCAATGGATTTGATCTATAATGCCGCAACCCACCAGGACTAGCCTGAAGTAATGTGAAAAACAGTTCCAAGCTAGAACTAGCGTCCTTAAGACATATAAGAAAATAATCAAATATTTTCATGAATCTGGCTGTTTTAGGCCTTTTCTGTAATTAACAGTAGTACAAGAGAATATACATTATAATACAGGTCTCACCAGTAGTTTAGCCAGCCCCAAGAAAAAATCTTGGTAGTATAGAGTAGCATCATCAATCAGATGCTGGTTCATCATTGCCTTTGTCTTCTCAGCCTCCAAAATGTTGCTGACAGCTCGTAGACTGAACTTGCACGCCTAAACAGTAAACACAGAAATGTCACTAGATATCAGAACTAGATATCTTACAACTCGTGACTGGACCCTTGTTCCAACTAAGCAATTCCTAACCATCAGTAGGAAGTCTTATGCGGGAGCAGTGTGAACCATAAAGATCTCAAAGAGTGAGAGTCTACCTATCTATCACAACCTTTGTATTTTATCTAGTCATAGAGCTATTTAGGAATGTCATTGAGATCTCTAATGAATGAATCATCTTTATTAATATCATTTAACCACAAACCTTAACTACAGACGGCTCAGAGTCACACAGATGCATGAGCAGACAAACCAAACACGCCTTGACTTGCTCTTGGAAGCCCGGAAGAGCAGAACCCCCAGAAACGGCCAGTTCTCCCAGCAGCCTCAGCGACATCGTTCGCAGCTCTATGTTCTCCTGTGACACAAACCTTATCACAACAAACCTCGGGAAATAGCGTAGGTATTACAGTACTTATAATAATTTGGCTGGATGTACTATGTTTAAAATAAGACTTCAGGCAAAATCTAGAGGTATTTTCTTACATTACTGACACTTTGAACAGGTTTGTTATAAACAGATCGTAGTGGGTTTTGTTGAAAATTATGTTTTAACTTCTTGTTGAACAATCAGATAAATGAAATTGTTAACAAAATCATGTCCTTCAATAATTTAAATATCTAAAAAATGATTTATTTATCATGATAAACCGCAGTACAACACAAAGTAAAGATAATATATATATAACTTATAAAATGTCTTATCAATAAACCATAACCAATAAGACCAATAAGATTTATCATATACTTGAATTGTTAAAAATAACATTTATTACAAAGCTATGAAATATTTACCAGTCATAAATTGTGTAGTAACTAAAATACACTTTGCAAACACCATTGTATAGAGATTCTACTCACAGTTCCACCCTCGACAATCCGACTACTTCATTTTACAAAAAAGCTCAACAAACCACAATCCACAAACGTTTTCTCAGTATACACACCCCCGTTTTATATGCGACCCCCAGCAGTTTGGAGACAGCTACCTTCTCAAAGAACGGTTTGACTCGCAGCGCCACCGCCACCTGTATGTCTCGTACGTGCGCCTGCTGTATTGTAGGTAGCACCTGCGAGAGTCCGACCATCGCCTGCAGAGCAACGTCTCCATGACACTCTGCGTCGTGATCGTCCAGGCCTTGGATTAAAGCCTCCAAGATACTCTCGCAGTGGCGCTCTCTCTGCAACAAACACAAATGATTCTATTGGAGCAGTAGTTTAGTTTTTAACAGTTATGGTTTGAAAAACTATGTTTTTTTAAGTTAATGTACTTTTAGAAGCAACAAGGTTAATTTCACAGTGATACTCTCAGTATCATACACAAATTATGGGTCCGCAAGACAAGGCATCTCATTCTATTCCATACTCACACCTTTAATTAATATTTTGTGTAAAATACACCCAGATGTGTTCCCATCTTAATTAGTAACATTTCGAACTAACTTATTTTAAATTGTATTATTGAATTCTTACAGAAAAACAAGGGAAACAAAAGACTGATTGAATAAAAAAGCACTGTAAAATAACAAAATTTGAATAATTGCTGCAGACAAGCCAAATGGCTTTTGGCTTTTGTGGCTGAATTGTATTTGTTTTGTACATTTGTATTTTTTTGAAAAAAAAATTGTAATTTTATTTTGAATACTGACTTTATACTTTTGGATATCATGCTGCTTAAAGCCTTTGCAAAACTTCTACTCAAGATGTCTTACAACAGGCCACATATATCAAATTACAATTATTTTACAGGATTATGTTAGACTTTTGTTAAACAACCATTCACAAAACAAAAAATATAATTAATCAAAAATCAAATTACAGAAGTTGAATTTATAAATCACAACTTTTTATCCTTCATCAACTATTTAAAAATAAAGTAAAAAAAACAGGCAAAAGTAAAAAAAAGAATGTTATAATCCAGCCAATTGGCATAATAAAGAGCTTGCCACATACCACAACACAATGGTTCCAATATGCAAGCTATACAAAAGACAAACTATTATACATAAACATAATATTGAGTTTGTGTTGCACATTAATTTGTAGTTACGATATAACCTGTTTGAATAAAATAGGAAAAGTAGACTCAAGTTAGTAGGCCTATTAGTAAAGTTAGTATTAATCAATTTAATCTGGCAGATATAGGACGGTGACACTGCCGGATTAGTGAAAATGCCAGATTCCTGGAATGTTATCAATAAAAACACTTAAAATACACTTAAAACCCGTCTCCGAAGATCACACGATCAGAAACAGCTATTGATATCATCGGACGACGATATTTCCGTCATCCTGGAGTCGTTGATAACGTGTAAACGTCCGCAGGAGATGTTCATGATTTTGCTGCGATCATGCATAACAATGTTGACGCTTCCATGACCACAGGAGATGTTATGACTTTGCCGCGATCGCGCAAGACGACGACGACGTTTCCGTGACCGCGGGATAGAATATGGATGTTTACACGGCTGCGGGAGATGGTAAAATTTTTGCTGTGACTGCGGAAGACAACGATAATGTCTACACGGCCGCAGGAGATAATCAGAATTTTGACGCGATCGCGGAATACCTCGGAATACCAGCGCAGGAGTGGTGCAGTGCCGGATTAGAGAGGGTCTACTGTACTAGTATTAAAACCACAAAAACTGTATTTTTTATGTTCAGTATTTATTTCAATAACCAACTTAATAACTGCGGATCGATAGCGGTACAAATTTCATGCACTATTGCGTTTCAGAACAGCTTTGATTATACGTCCATTTGAATTATCAAAGACCACTTAGCCAATGTGTAACTTAACTTTTAATTTGTATCTCTATAAGAGCTTTAATTTAAGCTTTCATTGGAGTTTCTAACTTGTCCCGTCGCTGAAATAAAGTGCCTTTACAAAAACCTTAACAGAATTTTTGTTTATTGACGAAAAATTCTAAAGCTTATAAATATTCTTTATATGTATATATTCTAATAGCTATAACAATTTCATGACGATTAGATCATTAGTTTTTTTGTTATAAAATGTTAAATTCGCCCGTTGTTGGTAAAGCGCAAAAAAGCGCGTTGGAAAAACCTGCACTTTTTTCATTCAACCCACTGAAAGGCTGAGTTGAAACTTCATATAAAATGTGAAACCAACACACATAAACGCAGAAATAAATTCGTAAAATTAAGTATGATGTAACTTGTTTTTTTGTCTATGTTTACTGGTTACGTTGCAATAGAAGCTCAAACTTGAGTATCTATACTTTTTGACCCAACAGTAGATCCTTAAGTGGTCTCATTTACTAACAAGGAGCATATTAAAGTGGGTTAATTGTAGAGATATTGTTTTTTTTTTTTTAGTTAAAGAACTAATTATATAAATTCAAGGATGTGGACCTACTTGTTGCTCATCCAGATAAGAGATGTTAGCAAGACCCTTGAGGCTGAGTCTCCTCACTAGAGCCGAGGGATCAGTCAGGGAGGCCAGTAGGTTACTGAGTACACTGTCTATCAGTACAGTTTGTCCTGCACACTGCAGCTGTATACACTGTAACATACAGGGGATACATCCAGATAAGAGATGTTAGCAAGACCCTTGAGGCTGAGTCTCCTCACTAGAGCCGAGGGATCAGTCAGGGAGGCCAGTAGGTTACTGAGTACACTGTCTATCAGTACAGATTGTCCTGCACACTGCAGCTGTATACACTGTAACATACAGGGGATACATCCAGATAAGAGATGTTAGCAAGACCCTTGAGGCTGAGTCTCCTCACTAGAGCCGAGGGATCAGTCAGGGAGGCCAGCAGGTTACTGAGTACACTGTCTATCAGTACAGTTTGTCCTGCACACTGCAGCTGTATACACTGTAACATACAGGGGATACATCCAGATAAGAGATGTTAGCAAGACCCTTGAGGCTGAGTCTCCTCACTAGAGCCGAGGGATCAGTCAGGGAGGCCAGTAGGTTACTGAGTACACTGTCTATCAGTACAGATTGTCCTGCACACTGCAGCTGTATACACTGTAACATACAGGGGATACATCCAGATAAGAGATGTTAGCAAGACCCTTGAGGCTGAGTCTCCTCACTAGAGCCGAGGGATCAGTCAGGGAGGCCAGTAGGTTACTGAGTACACTGTCTATCAGTACAGATTGTCCTGCACACTGCAGCTGTATACACTGTAACATACAGGGGATACATCCAGATAAGAGATGTTAGCAAGACCCTTGAGGCTGAGTCTCCTCACTAGAGCCGAGGGATCAGTCAGGGAGGCCAGTAGGTTACTGAGTACACTGTCTATCAGTACAGTTTGTCCTGCACACTGCAGCTGTATACACTGTAACATACAGGGGATACATCCAGATAAGAGATGTTAGCAAGACCCTTGAGGCTGAGTCTCCTCACTAGAGCCGAGGGATCAGTCAGGGAGGCCAGCAGGTTACTGAGTACACTGTCTATCAGTACAGATTGTCCTGCACACTGCAGCTGTATACACTGTAACATACAGGGGATACATCCAGATAAGAGATGTTAGCAAGACCCTTGAGGCTGAGTCTCCTCACTAGAGCCGAGGGATCAGTCAGGGAGGCCAGTAGGTTACTGAGTACACTGTCTATCAGTACAGTTTGTCCTGCACACTGCAGCTGTATACACTGTAACATACAGGGGATACATCCAGATAAGAGATGTTAGCAAGACCCTTGAGGCTGAGTCTCCTCACTAGAGCCGAGGGATCAGTCAGGGAGGCCAGTAGGTTACTGAGTACACTGTCTATCAGTACAGTTTGTCCTGCACACTGCAGCTGTATACACTGTAACATACAGGGGATACATCCAGATAAGAGATGTTAGCAAGACCCTTGAGGCTGAGTCTCCTCACTAGAGCCGAGGGATCAGTCAGGGAGGCCAGCAGGTTACTGAGTACACTGTCTATCAGTACAGTTTGTCCTGCACACTGCAGCTGTATACACTGTAACATACAGGGGATACATCCAGATAAGAGATGTTAGCAAGACCCTTGAGGCTGAGTCTCCTCACTAGAGCCGAGGGATCAGTCAGGGAGGCCAGCAGGTTACTGAGTACACTGTCTATCAGTACAGTTTGTCCTGCACACTGCAGCTGTATACACTGTAACGGATAAATCCAGATAAGAGATGTTAGCAAGACCCTTGAGGCTGAGTCTCCTCACTAGAGCCGAGGGATCAGTCAGGGAGGCCAGCAGGTTACTGAGTACACTGTCTATCAGTACAGTTTGTCCTGCACACTGCAGCTGTATACACTGTAACATACAGGGGATACATCCAGATAAGAGATGTTAGCAAGACCCTTGAGGCTGAGTCTCCTCACTAGAGCCGAGGGATCAGTCAGGGAGGCCAGCAGGTTACTGAGTACACTGTCTATCAGTACAGTTTGTCCTGCACACTGCAGCTGTATACACTGTAACATACAGGGGATACATCCAGATAAGAGATGTTAGCAAGACCCTTGAGGCTGAGTCTCCTCACTAGAGCCGAGGGATCAGTCAGGGAGGCCAGTAGGTTACTGAGTACACTGTCTATCAGTACAGTTTGTCCTGCACACTGCAGCTGTATACACTGTAACATACCATTAACAATACAAGGGTCCATTCATTTCTGCCCTTTCATAATCGTTTGAGAGTTTCTCATACCATAGAGGATGGTGATTATTTTAATTATTTATTATTTTTTTATTAATTATTATCAAGTATTACCGCGAGATGCTATTATTAAATTGAAGAGTAGGCAGGTTTTTTAACAAGGAATATCTGCCTTGAAAGTTATTCAGATCTTGATTAATATTTTAAAATACCGTAACGCCATAAAACAAATCTTTGCCTGTCAAACACAAACTTGAATGTATGGCAGAAGATGATAAAATGAACGGTAAAACTAAAACATCCACCACACAGGATGCATTTGATTTATTTATCAAAGATCAAATCATCACATGTTACTATTTTTGACGTAAGTTATGGTATAACTTACTGTACTTATGGTATAATTGGACTGTACCTCAACATTGAAGGCAGTTACGGCAGCCCTCTGAGCCTCTAATGTGCTGTCATTGTATTGACCCAGAGCTGTCAGTATCTTGGGCAGCAAATGTCCCCAGCTCTCACACACTGCCCTGTAACATTGTCATTGATCATCAAAACTTTGAATATAATGTAGTAAGTTTTACAGAATAGTTGAAAATCTTTACATTTGATTTACAGTTATTCTTCTCATCATAAAAATACTACTAGTCAAAAACTTTGCTAGATTGACCTAGCCTTTTCCAAATTATGGTGAAAATTCCATAAACAAACAATTGTGAAATTGCTTTAATACAATTAACCACCTCCATGAATTCAAGATATGGTAAACTTTATGTAAATGACAAAACACTACCTAATTTTAAAATGAGGATATTAACCCTGATATGAACTTCCGGTGGAGGTCACCCTCTGTGGCAGAGCTTAGTAAGAGAGGTCCACTTAAATAAATGGGGGATGGCTTCGGTGCAAGTTGACAGGATGGGTTAATTCTTTGCCAGTTGCACCTCATATCTTGCGTTTTGCAGCTTTTTGTAAATTCTCGCTGTGTATGTTTGTGTGTCTCCACCAAAAATTGCCGTATTGTTGTAATATGACAGTTAGTTTTTTTTTCTTGTAAAGGAGGAAAATCATATATAAAATAGCTTATAGGCAATGTTAAACCACTGAATAATGGAGATAGAATTGTGAAAACAAAATGAACGTTAGCTATTTTCACAACTAATACCTGGCGAGAGCTGGTATCATGGCCAGGAAGTAGTCTATGTTGTTGCTGCCCAGATCTATCTGTGAACATTCCAACACAGCCTCGGCGGCCGCATCACATCTGGCACACAGCAGGAAATTCTTGAAACAATCCTGCGCCACTCTGCAACATAAGACGGTGCATTATATTTAACTGCCATGCCAAAAATGGTGTAGTTACTGTTCAGTTCTTTTACCTAACATTTTTCTTTAGCCTGTTTAAAATTAATTAGAACAGCTGATGATTTTAAAATAATTTATAATATTGAACAAATAAACATGATTCTATTCTGGTTCTTCTTGTTAACATGACTTACTAATTTTTCTCTTATAATTTTCATTTATTACACACAAACACAATACAGTTACTTAGTTGCAAATCATTAAATAAGATTGGATTCGTATGACACTGTCAAAACAAGGGTGTGTAGAAACAAAAATAACTGAAGGGTGAGTTTTGAATGGATGAGACATAGTCATTGACTAGTCAGGTGGTTCTTTAGCTGGTCCAATGATTAAATGCATAACCATCAAGCTGGGCCCTATTTTTAACTATCAAAAAGGTACTGACTTAACGTAGGATCAAACCAGTTACATTTGAGACAAACACTTTAACAACTCAGCTACTGAACTTACAAGTTAGACTATTCTAAAGCTCAAAATAGTTGACGTACTTAGCTGGGTTGATCTTGTAAGCTTCTCTGTTTGGTATGAACATGGTCTTGTTTGTCCCAGGGGCATAGATGGGAGGAGTGACTCCAACGTAGGCAGCGACCACAGTAAGCAGCAAGGCAAACAGGTCAGCAAAGTGGGCAGAGGCTAGGTCGTACATGGAGGCCACCAGGAACATCTCTTTGAAGGCTGAGATAGCCTGCCACCAAACAAGTTATGGTAAGACATTGAGGATAAAATTGATGTGTCATTCTTCTGGGTAATTGCTGAGTTTTGTTAGGTTGTAAATTGATTGAGTAAAATAAGATCGTTGAAGACTTAACCTCTACAGTGTAATATCTGTACATGCTTGCCTTTTGTAAATTAATAAAGCATTAAGCTTCAACAGGTGTACAATAAGCTGTTCTAGCTGTGCTGTAATCCCATGGTTGCTTGTAAGCCTGGCCCTCTTAAAAAAAAGCTTCAACAGTAATCTATGAGACATTATCAAGATAGCTAAGTTTGAAATTTAATTGATTTTTTAAGGCTTTCCGAGGAAAACAATTATAAATAACAATCATAACTATATCACTAAAATAACATAATGCTATATTCAAAACAAAAATAATAAGTTAAATCAGTAGTTAAATCAATTAAGGTGGGTTTATTAAGAGGTAGAAAAGTGTTTTAAAATATGTTTTCTCCAGTCCAAGTTATATTAGTGCAAACAATTTTAAATGTTTAATTTTTCAAAAGGGGTGGGCAGCTTCTTTTGCCTTTGCCTGAGCACAATATCCTCAGGCCTGTGGGAGGAATGTGTTCAGCAAAGCAAGAAGTGAGCCAGTACAGTATAAGAGTGGTCTCTACAGATCAGTAGTAGCGGCACCACAACACAACCCCCATATTGATTGATTCATAGTCTGCCACGCTATCGAATGAGCCATTGACAAAACTTGACTTGACATGGGCAAAGACTTTTTTTTAATAACCATACCACCTGCATAAATAAGGTGTGCGGTTTCAATAAAGTAGACAAGATAATAGACATAGGCTTACAGCAAAAGGTAACAGAGCAGCGACTCTAGGCCGGTCGCCAGTCGTGGCTGCGTCCTCGTTGAGCAAGGCTGAGGTGTTGATGAGACGCAGGAATTGATCTGTAATGTCAGCAGCCATGGACTGGTCTGCCGCCAGGGCCTTCCAACTGTCACACACACTCCTGCCAACAAACATAGTTCATTCTATAAACTCTATTTCACATTCACCTGTCTACACTGGTAGTACGCTTATTCTGCGACAACGAGATGTGTGAACGTGAGCGCAACAATGGGCGAGTCCACCAAATCTCAGTTAACAACAATCATAACTTTTCGTCCATTAATTAACCGAAGTCATTGGTAAAATTTCTGGTGGATTTCCAACAATTATCGATAGGTGGTAAATCTATCGTTCCTGTACAAAATATCTATTGTAAATTCATCTCTTTAAAATTATACACAATAGTTTAACCGATCAACAGTGTTTTTAGAAATGTTTCCTTATTTGTTATTAGGCCTATCATAAACAAAATGAAGCCAAACTGAACTAATCTAACTTAACCTAATTGCCACAGCACAGTGTAAAAGTCTTCTTAAAAAGATCGTATGGCTTAAAAGGATTATGTATAATACAAATACACACAAACGATAGACCTATTATAGTATTATACAGTATCACCTAAAAATGATTAACAATCCAGTATATGTCTAACTACCGCTTATTCATATAGTTGTTTTAATTCCCAATCACATAAGATAAATTTGTTATAACCTAATTTAGATTAAAGAAGTAAAATATGTAAAATACTGAACATATTCGATCAGTAGTAGGTAGTTTCCAAATGGTGTGTAATATTTTCTCTGTATTATTTGATCAGTGGTCATTCCGAATGTTTATCCTTTGTAATGCGTTGAGGTCTTATGGCTTGATTTTAAACATATGCTAAGATTCTTTGTTTTGTTTACATTTACATGGTTTTTTAACCATCATAGCAACCCATAAGGCCAACTTTAAAATTTAAAAACTTTAAGTTATTTTTAAATTTTATAGGCATTATCAAAAATTGAAATTGTTTCGTCTACAACCTTCCAAACATTTGTCAAAACAACCTTGGTAAGTTTGGCTAAAATATGTTCAGCCGTTATTGAGTGATAGTGTTAGAAAGATCCTAAAGAGCTTCGATTCACTCTGCTCAATCAAGAATGTGTACTTTTAAGAAGATGAAACATGTTTCAATTGTCAAATGTCCACTCACAGATGCCAAGGTAGGGGCTGAGCCAGCAGTGTGTTGACCATGGCTTTAGGGTGGTGTTTGGCGAGCGGTAGAAGTGTGCGGACAGCCCCTGTACGACTAGTGGGGTTGAGGGCAGCCAGTCGTGTGAGTAGCAGAGCTGAAAAATTTGGTGATAATACATAGCTCAACACAGGATCTAATTAACTATCACAATAACTTAAAAGTTAAAGTATGAGAAACTATTTTAAATTTGAAATGGGTTAAATTTTCGGGCAATGGTAGATCTGTCAATCTATGTTGAATTTCCTAGGCTGTTTTTTCTCAAAAATTCATTGAATTTTTCAGACTATGTGGTGTTTTTCAGATTATGTTAAACTTTTCATTCTGTATAATTGAACCAGACAAAGAAAGTCCTAATCGCTTCCCTTTATTTGAGTATGCTTAAATTGTTCAAGGTATGTTGGTATGAGAAAAGCAGTCCAGGAATTCCTACGAAAATGGAGTTGATGGTGATAGAAAATGATGCTAAGAGAAAAACCTAGAAGATACAGAGAAGAGGGAAGAGGAACTGAGGAGGAATAGGAGGAGGAGCATTCGTTGATACCTGGTGATTTAAACAGAACGGAATACTGTTATCCAAGTGACAGCCGGTCTATGTGTAAGATTCAAATGTATACCTCGGTCTGCGGCAATGACCGCGGCGTCGCATGAACATGTTTAGTTAAATAGATTCTGTAAAAACATAAATTATACCTAATATGTCATTGATGTGGTGGTACAGTTCGCCACCCTTAGCCTGGAAGAAATGCACGAGAATGTCGCAAACAGCTTCAACATTGGCTGGCTCTAGGTCAGATAGTCCTTGTAGTACTGTATCTGCGAAGTGGTTCAACTGGTAATGGGGCAGCTTGCCAGCAACAACCTGAGGACAAAAAAAACTGTTTAGAGATTAATTTTTGATTTAATTTTTTTACAAGCATTTCTGAGGGCGTCCAAAATAAGAGATGGGTTATAGTTCGGTGGTTGAAAATATCAAAAACAAAGTTCCAAATACCATTTTGTTATTGATGGAGATTGGGACACAATGGGCTGTATTTTAACCCAAATAAGAGTGTAGAATGGCTAATATTACTTGTGTTACTAAAGCCATGTTTCCACCAGAGTTTGCAACAGAATAATTTATACTTTCTTTTACAATAATTATTGCCTGGGTAAACAGGGATTACAAAAGGGCTGTTAACATATTTGTCCTACTTCTTGTAAAATTCTAAATTATTGTTGTAAACACTAAAAATGTATTTTCTCTCTTTTTGGATTTCAGCAAAGTTTTGTTGAAATATATATTGTAAACCCCGATATAATGAGGCTTTGGATCAACTGTTTTTAACCATTAAAATTTATGAAAAGCCTAACAATCAAAGGGCAGTTAGATCCAGTTAAAACCATCAAAAGTTTCTCACTTTTCTCTGGTCTAATAATAACAATAACAAAATTTTCGGTTATTATTACTAAATACTTTTAAGACTGTTATTTAGGTTTAAGTAAGGACTCTTGTTATAAGAATAATGACAAGCTACGTGTAAATATGATAGAAATACCCTGGCAACATTTTTACTACCAGGCAAACACTATAACCACTCAGCAACTATCAATCAGTAACAAGACTGACTCACACATGACATACATCATGCCCTTCATGTTACCTTGGCCAGCTGTTCATTGACGGAGGCACTGTTTGTGTTCATGCTTGCAAAAGCAGCTTCAAGTTCTGAGTCACTGATGCTTTGGCCCTCGTACTTGGCGGAGATGAGGAGTATTAGACGAGCACATTCTCTTGCACACGCCTGCACTTGTGTGTCCTCGTCCAGACAACGCAGTACTGCGCGCCCCATCAGCACACCCGCCTGGTTGAACTTACTGGGGTTCTGTGGAAGCAAAGTCGGTTAAACCACTTATCTAATGTAAGGTTGGTTGTCAGAAATGTGGATATCTATTTTAATTTTAAGAAGAGGTGGTTTATGTGTCAACGTTTCTTTTATTAAAAACAAAAACACAAAAAACTACAGAACCAACTAATCTGAAATTTTTATATTAAAGTAGATCATGAACTAAGTCCACAAACAGCACTATTATTTGCTTCCAAATCCCTCAGATAGGCTTTTTTTTTTTGTATAATTACAAGTGTTGATGTTGAGAGTTTATTGTGTAGCAATTTATCTTCATGAATTATTTACCAAACAGTGAACCAGAAAAAAATCAAAATTTAATTCATGTCATCTTCACATTATTGTACGTATAAATGTTCATTTAATTTTATTTCCAAAATGTTCAAAATCATCCCTGTGAAAACTAAACTCCTTCATTCGCAGATTTAAAAAATTCAAAATCATTAACAACACTTGGTTTGGATCAGTTTTGATTTGATTCTCAACATTTTCAAACAACTATCCCTATGATATTCAATCACAGTCACAAACAAATCCAAATGATTTACGCCATCAGTAACAAATTACAACTACATAACATTAATCACACTTGGTAAAGTCACAGAACACGTACGCTAGAGTGTCTAGGGTCAGTCACAGGCTTCATTAAGTTATGGAAAATATAGCACCAGATATATTTCTGTTGATTATAAAAATCGTAGCTCACTTCATATCCGAATGTCATGTGGTGGTAATAGGCCTGCAGGGTTATCCTGAGAATGTAGACGGCCGCAGATCGTTGTTGTACGTTGCGTTGGATCAACCAAGGCTCCAGCATGGTAGATATGTCGTCTAAAGTGGCCGGAGAAATGTCGTCTATGAGCAGCTCTTCAACCAGGAGACCTGCAAAGAAAATGAGACAGTGTCAGGAGGGTTGTCTGTGATTAGGGTCTTCAACACACTCCTGTCAGCTAACTTGCCTTGCTTTACTAAAAGCTCTCACCACAGAAGTTGGAACCAGATATAAATCTGTGGGAGTAGTAAAGAACACAGAGCTTGTGACAGGTTTGAACTAGATTGTTCCGTCTTCATGGGAGCTTCCAAGACATTAAATTAGAGAGAAATTTGAATATACTTTTTCAGTAACATACCTTCATTATGAGAGTAAATGTCTTACTCTGTTCATTCATAGGCCTGCTAAATTCAAAGGCTAATAAGTTTACTTTTACTTTTAGTCAAAAGTATAATCTGTCTCTGCAGAAATGGGTTTTTTCTGCTATATGAATCTTGAAAATTTGTTTTAACATTTTTATGAGGTTATGAAAGGAAAGGTTAAATAGTGATGCTTTGTATCATAAAAATATGCAAGTAATTTTCAATGATCACATAATAACACATACAGGAAAAAAATTGCTTAAGTGCTGTTAACACGTGTTTTTCTCCTTGCAAATAATTTTTCCTACAGTCACCCGACAAAGTTGGCTTCCTTGTACTGTTTATAGTACAGAAAGCTGCTAATTGCTGCATATTTATACTTTGCCGTACGGTTTATACTTTGCCGCACATCAGGATTCCAACGAAACAACACAAAACAGCGTGGATCTATTATGCACGTAATCCGTGTACGCTTGGAAATAGGTTGGCAACACTTAAAGATAATAATACTATGAGCAGCTGATTGACTATTATAACTACGATTTAACCTGTCATTTCGTGTTTATAGTTTCGGTATTTCTGAACTGAATGGACTTTTCTTTTAGACGTTTTTAAAACATTCCTACGATCTTAATAAACAAGAAAATACCTTTAAAGCATTTTTTTAGGCACGGAAACCACTTCAAATTACAAAAACATACGGAACTATATTCTCAAAACGCGTAGCACATTTCTTGCCGAGGAAAAATAGCGGAGTGATACGGACCGCGGGTACTACTTTCTCTAGGGCACCATTTGTGTTGCCAGCTGAACCTAAAAACGTGTTGTATAGTGTTTGAAAGACTAATTATTTATATGCTTTAAAGTGACTGTAGGAAAAATATAATGTGTAACACGAGTGAAAAAGGCCTTTGCTGCACTCGAGATCATTCCGGTAAACATTGCTCTCGTGTGCAGCAAAGTGCCACTTTCACCACTAGTTACACAAATAACTATTATGTTACCACATGATTATGTATTTAGGTATGCAGTAATAGACTAATCATAGGTGGTTACTGTTATTGTATGAAATATCATTACCCAAATTCTTAATGATTGGATTGCAGTCTGGAGGCTTTTCTTCTGCATTATTCTCACCGTTTTCTGCAGCAAAGACCCGGTCAAAACAGGAGCAAAGAAGCTTTGACCTGAACTCTGTCGTTATTTCTGGTGGTAGCTTACTGTTTATATGAAGGAAATTAAAAATATACTGACTTAAATTGCAGTACTTACATTAAGTTATTACTATCTTATGGCCAATGTTATTTTTGTGTGGAAATTAGTTTTTATTTGAGGCTCTAAACAAGCGCAACACAGGTAAAAAATATGTCGTGCCATAGAATTAGTTCTCAATATTTTGATTACAATCTCACTCACTAACTACAGTAACTTCCATTGCATACCTAACATGTGGTCACAACTTATACAAAGATTAACACACACAGACAAAATCGATTAAAATCCCCTCTTCCATCTTTTTAAACAACACCCAAAACAATATCTATATAAATAAAATTAGAGTTTTGTCTGTACATTGCTTAGAATAATGAACTTTTTGGTTATTTTTACATTTCATAGGTCAGAGAAACCGAATCAAACCTTATCTCAATTTCTGTCTGTCTGTCTGTCTGTCTGTCTGTCTGTCTATCTGTCATTCTCTTGGTAACGCTAAAATACGCACTTTATTACAACTACTCCTCAATAACTATAGCACTGTCCCGCCTGAAACTTATTTTCCAAATACTATACATATATGAGATGGTTTTAGACGTATTTCATCGAATATGAGACAGTTAGATATTTAACAGTAAACCCTTGAAAATCAAGTTTTTGTCGATTTTTGACGTGGAATTTCTGGAAGCCCATGTTAACCTTATGAGAAATGAAATTATTGAATCTTAACAGCTGTTTCAATTAAACAAGTTGGTTCTGTTCTGTGATGTTCAATAGCATTAAAGTTACAAGGATTACCAACAGGGTGCAGCACTAGCACTATTATTTCTTTTACATTTATGACAACAGCTAATTTGCAACCTGGAGGCGAGTGAGCGTAGCGAACGAGCTAACCTGAAGGCAAGTGAGCGTAGCGAACGAGCTAACCTGAAGGAAAGTGAGCGCAGCGAACGAGCTCCAACATACAGGTGAGTGAGCGTAGCGAACGAACTTCAACCAGGACGTGATTGAGCCATGCAAACGAGATCAGATAGTAAAAATAAAAGTAAGCCTACCGTTATAGGATCGACCGGCAGACACAGAGGTAATTTAACCTTTTATTGATTGTCATACCGATCCGGAACAACAAAAAACAACATAAAATGAAGCTATGTATAATAGTTTGGCCAGCATATCTTAAAATATGCAAACCAACTGCTGTTCGTTATATAAGAAGGTTTCAACTGAATATTATAAGATCCCCGTGCGTAGAACGGGTACACAGCTAGTTTCCTATAAAAACACTTTAAACTCTGACAAAAAAAATCCTTTTTCCATATTTCACATCTACTGAGAAAAGGTTAAATAAAAAATCTTTACTAACAAAAAAAGTTAAAACAAGAAATGTTATTTTACGACTGCAGGACAAAGGATACACCACAGCGGCTGTGACCTTCAGCAACAGTGGGTCGGGGGAAGAGCTGTTGATCAATGAGAGTAGAGTGTTGAGTAGGAGATCCCGGGACTTGAGGTTCTCCGAGTACGTGTCTCGGTGACGGTCTAGTGTGTCTGCAATGTTCGCGATCGTGTGTAGAGTGGCCTCTCGAGCAGCTGGGTCCTGTTGACAGATACAAGAGGGTACTGTTTAAACTAGAGTAGAAGCTATAGATATTTAGAGTATTTATATTTTTCAATTAGATATTATAGAAAATTGCATGTACATTATTCTGGCGATTCATGTAAATTATGTTGTTCCTAAATTATGTTGTGACTGGCTTATGTTATATTTGAAATAAAAATTGACTACAGCTGTAGCATCCTCCAATGCCAGGCTGTGCCCAACAATGTGGCATCAACGCTCCCCTCTCATCGCTATAAACTACTCGCTACAGTCACTCCACAACTGCAAACAAGTACAATCAGCCACACACTCTGTTCCATTAATGTTACGCATATTTATGTACAAACTCTTCAAATGTAAAGTTTTCACATTGAAGATCACACCTCTAAAACTGCTAAGGACATTAATCTCGTCTTGCTTTAATATATATTTTTAACACACTACAATAAACAATAGTAATAGTAACAAACAAGTAAACATTAGCATCGTGAGGACGCTATATATGAATTAGTGCTACAGATGGTAGGCTTGGGCTGCGTCGTTGGCACATTTAATTCGTTGCAGCCTTGTATTAGAGGAGACTATGCTAAACTAAAGCTGGTAGGCCGGGGCTGCGTCGTTGGCACATTTACTTCTTTGCAGCCTTGTATTAGAGGAAGCTATGCTACAGCTGGTAGGCCGGGGCTGCGTCATTGGCACATTTACTTCGTTGCAGTCTTGTATTAGAGGAGGCTATGCTACAGCTGGTAGGCCAGGCCTGCGTCGTTGGCACATTTACTTCTTTGCAGCCTTGTATTAGAGGAGGCTATGCTACAGCTGGTCCACACACACGGAATGTCTAATTCAGTATCCTAAGTCAATGTTTACCTTGGTCAAGTTAAGCTGACTGATGAGCCAGTTCATGAGGCCGTCCTCCAGGCAAGGCAGTAGAGCTGAAGGAGGAGCCTGATTCGCTACCTCTGCGTAACATCGCAGCAGCGTGATGCGTGCTCGCTCCACCTGCACAGGAGTTACAGTTTGGTTAATGATAGAAACTAGAAAGTACTGTAGCTTTAAATGTTAGCCTCTGCCTAGCATTTAACAAATAAAAGGTTCAAAGTATCTGTTGTACAGAAAAAACAAACCTGTTTTCGGTTAAATGATCATAGTTTTTAAACTAAAAGTTGATTTTCAAGCAGGATACCAAGTTGAAACATTCTCTTCACCTATGAGGTTGTGAAGAGTCACTACAAACACATACACTAAAACAAAAATCAACACAAAATTTGTGTTAGCTTTAAGAACTCATCTTAGACTGACCTCTAGATCTGCACGGGTGTCTTTCATTAGTCCGAGGAGGCGAGACGATCGTCGGTTGAGCTCGCTTTGTGAGACAGAGTCCAGCCTAGAGAGGACCAAGCTGAGATGTACTCGAGACAGTAGCCCTACGCCTCGAGCACAAGCCTGCAACGCAAACCCTAGGGCGTTTTTATTACGATAATAGTAGACACATACATAAACACATTTTGAATAGAGACCTTTACTTTTACAACAGAATTTCAAACATACAGGGTGAGTTTTAATTGTCCCCCCCCCCCAACTTTTTTCTACATTTTTTCAAATATCAATCCCAGACCACTTCCAAACATTGTTGGGTAGTAAGTACTTCATTTTGACAAGGTGGTCATTTCCGGCCGCCATCTTGGATCCGCCAATTGGATGCAAAATATTTTTTTCAAATGTAAAGGTGGGGTTGTGACCCATTATTTCGAACTAGATTTTTACCCTGATTACAATGCCGCAAACTGTTTTTAAAAATTTTGATTCATTCTAAAGTTATGAGGCCTTTTTAAAACTTTATTTTTAGCCGATTTTAATTTTGTGCTTGTACAAACTAAGATCATAATCTCAAAATAGTGCTAGATAAAGATAAGTATACACTACCAGTCATTGCCAACCTATTTCCACTTGGTTATGAATGATGTATTTTTTTCGGCCGCCATCTTGGATCCGCCATTTTGAAATGTGATAAATTATTTTAAATATAAAAGGGGGGTTGTGACCCATCATTTCGGACTACTTTTTTAAGCTGAACTCAATTCCATGGTCAATTTTTCATTTTCATATTTTGATTTTGAAATATTAACATTTTTAACAAAAATATTGCAATGTTTCATAAACAAAACTTGATAACAAAAATGGATTGCAGCATTGAGTTTAACTTAAAAAAGTAGTTCAAAATGATGGGTCACAACACACCCTTCATATTTAAAATAATTTATCCCATTTCAAAATGGCGGAACCAAGATGGCGGCCGAAAAAAATACATCAGTCATAAATAAGTGAAAATAGGTTTACAATAACTGGTAGTGTATACTTATCTTTATCTAGCACTATTTTGAGATTATGGTCTTAGTTTGTAAATGCACAATGTTAAAATGGGCTAAAAATAAAGTTTTAAAAAGGCCTCATAACTTTAGAATGAATCAAGATTTTTAAAAACAGTTTGCGGCATTGTAATCAGGGTAAAAAATCTAGTTCGAAATAATGGGTCACAACCCCACCTTTACATTTTAAAAAAATATTTTGCATCCAATATGGCGGCCGGAAATGACCACCTTGTCAAAATGAAGTACTTACTACCCAACAATGTTTGGAAGTGGTCTGGGATTGATATTTGAAAAAATGTAGAAAAAAGTTGGGGGGGGGGGACAATTAAAACTCACCCTGTATATTGAATGACATATAAAAGGGCTATTTTATTATTTACTAGCTGTGTGCCCGTTCTACGCACGGGGATCTTATAGGAGTAGTAAGTCGAAACCTTATTATATAAAGAACAGCAGTTGGTTTGCATATTTTCAGACGTGCTGGCAAAACTATTATATCCAAACCTAATATTATGACATATAAAGAAAAAGCAAAACATATACAAAAACTTTGGTGACAGTTTGAACCAAACAATCTCATCCAAACAGCTTTTTGTTATTTAGAATATGACGTATTCTCTAAACGATGTTTGGTATATGTAGCTAATATTACTGTAGAAGGAAATGTAAACAAAATCACACAATGCTGTGTTTTTTTTTAAGTTTTTAATTTGATTTCCTAAGTAGGTACCTAGGCCATGTATTCAAGGGAAAAGTACCAGTATCAAGGATCGTCGTAGAATAGGTTGTTATGAATAATTGGGTAGGCTATGTACCCAAGATACAGTCTTATTGGCCTATTGGCTGTATGGTCCAGCGATTGTAGCACATAGGGGTCAGTAGAAACCGAAAGTGACATATTGGAAAAGCGAGTTTAGCATCATCCGTAAACCTCTGTTACAATCACCCTCTGCAGTTATGATTTTTCACTTTACGCTTCACACAACCGCCATTGAAACGCCGTAAATTTAATAAACGTAAGTTTCCCAGCCCTATACATCACTGTTTCAAGGTCTTTTTCCCGGTTATCAAAGCTTCAGAGCAATTTTATACACATAGAATCTCTATTTCATTTTACACATTATTGAACTTGCGATTAATTAAATCCTTTATGTAAGGAAAATAGTTTTTAATCTCACTTGGTTTTGGATTTTGCTTTCAAAATGTGATCGGAAATGTTTGCGGTATTTGTAAATAACCTTTAATGTAAACATATCAGTGACAGCTAGAAAATATAATCTTGATCTGAACAGCTGTTCGTTATTTCATTGATGATTAAGTGATGAACATTGGACAATGGGAGAAAACTTGACAAAAATCGCACGAAGTCGGGTTTTTAAACGTCCGTCGTTTTATATACAAAGTAGTGACGCCATATTTTAATGGCTAAAGACAATCTCGCCAATCCAGTGAATACATTAAAATTATTTGGATCTTGAAAGGTACTCTAGTTTTTCAGGAGAAGGCCGCGTAAAATGGCTCTTGGGCCGTAACAGACACGAAGACAGACAGAAATTTAGATGAGACTTGTTTCGGTTTGTTTAATGTATAACACGTAAAACTAACCTAAAAGTTTATGATTCTGAGCAATGTACAGACAAAACTCTAATTTTATTTATATAGATAAGAAATAGTACATTAAGTTGTCTAATTAAATTATATTTATCCATTTTGTATGATTTTTACTTTTTTCATCATAATTTGTTTCTAAATTCATGCTACTCTTTTGTATGACGTTTGTCACTCACAAGAACAGCTATTTTAACCAAACTAGCTTTTAAAATTGAAATAAAATTATCTGGGTAGCCTGAATGTTTACTGTGCTCGCCTTCAAATCTGAAGAATGCTGGGTCGATTCACAGGAGATCGATTTAGGAACCAGATGCCATTTGTCATTGGGCTACCAATTAAAGATGTGATCTAACAATTGGTTATGTTGGAGAGTAACACGAACGGAGTTTGTAATAAAAAGTCGTAAGATCGTAACAAAACCAGAGTTTAGAAAGTTTTTCACAAAAAAACTTTTAAAATACCAAGATGGTGCATATATAAACATATATAAAAAGTACTCCCGAAGCTGTAAATGTCATCAGTACAAGTAAAATACTTTTACTATTGCAACAATTGTACAGTTATTGTGCATGTGCTGAGATAAGCCTGCTGGTGAATCACCTTACTGTCGTGCGGACTGTAGTTTCTGAGGGGAGCCAACATAACATCCAAGTGAGAGCTGACTATCTGCCTGTCTGACAGGTTACACGCAGCGAGCGCAAGACACTTGAGCAGCATGGCACGCTCGTCTGTGGCACTTGGAGGGTACAGAGGTATCTGTGCGCTCAGTTGGCCTGCGACTAGGATCACCTGCAGAACAACATCATGTTGTTAGTTTCACATAATAAGTGAACAGTATGAACATTTTTCAATTACAGAACATCTAACTAATGTTGAGTAACTACTTTAATTTACTGCAACAAGGCACACAAACAATTGTTGTTTTGGTTAGACTTTAAATCTTAGTTTCAAATAAAGATATTATTGCCTTGTTTTGTAAAAAAATAAAAAATAGATGTAAACAAGCAATTTTTAGCAAATTAATTTATTTTCCATAAGGACAGCAGGAGACAATGTAGCAGAGCAATTTTCAAGTACAGTTATGATAATCTGAATGATAAGAATAATAGTTCAATGAACCGTACAGATTTTTTTAAATGGTGCTTGAAGACGAAGTAGCTAGTTTTAATAATGAATAGATTTTTGAACTATTTGAAAATTTCTTAGTAATTTAGATCAAAGGAGATTTTACCTAAATCGAAGAATTTTTTAAAGTTGTGCCTATGGATCATTGTGCCTATGAAATCATATGAGTACACAGTAAGTGTAAGGTCCAGGACTCCATGACCTATGTATTATCGTATTACCGTTGACCATGGGTAGAGCAATACATTCGAGTCCTATGTTAACTTTGTAGGCAGTTTTAGAATGAAAATGAACATAGTTTAATTGAGACACAGTATGCTGATGTAATGGATTTTTGTTGGCAAAGCCCATTTTTTTACTAAGCCAAACTGAGGGGACATCTTAGAGTAACGGTAACCATCACAACATTGAAAATAAAGGGAGAAAATTGAATTGTGTGCTCTAGCACATTCTGTGAGTAATTCATTCATCTGTGTTTTTTTATACAACATTTGTAATTTTGTGATGTGTCTGATAATGCCAGCATAGCTGGCGGAAGGCCTCATAAAAATTAAAAATTCAGAAATATTGGCGAAGTTGTTATTTCAAATTAGTATTAATTCCAATATTAACAGTTCTTCTTGAAGATTTGTATATACATTTGTATATAAAATTTGTATAGATGGGATGACTACGTCAGTATACCAAAGGTGATAGCTACTTCTTTGATACAAACTAATTAAAAAAAATTTCACTCACCCAATCCTCAGACTCCTCGGCCGCCACTACAGTCTGTAGTGATGAAGACACAAACTCCAACACTAGAGCCTCCCATTCCGACTCCGACCATTCTGAAACTGTCATTACGAGGCGGATCTTCAATGGAAGAGATTACATTTGCAGAAAACTAAACATCCAACCCACTAAAGCCCCTACTAAATTTTTACACCAGTTAAACATATTTCCAAGAGATTAAAATGTACAACATAATTCAAAAGTTATACTTTGACAACTTAAATTTCACATTGGGCAGAGTGAAAACTCAGTTGATGGGCTAATTGATAAAAATTATTTTAAAACTCAGTTTTTCAGAACAACTTTTGTCATTGAACTACTTTACTTAAAACTAAACATTTACATCTATTAAACACTTTTTAAACTTGATCTTAAATGTATTGTTGGATGCAACAATTTTTAGGCTCTCGGGTAGTCTGTTGTACAATGTGGGTCCGAAATATGAGAAACTTTTCTTTCCCAATTCCAAGGTGACCCTTGGAAAGTGAAGCCTCCCACCATGACGTGTCCTTCGTTGTATGATCTCATCCCGGACAGAAAGCCTCTCGCAAAGATAGTCTACTATACTAATCTAAAGGGTGTCCCAGTAAGAACGCCGGATTTGAGGAGCGTCTTATTCTTATCTGTATTTCAATAGAAATTCCCAAATTATCAGCTATGTTATCAGTATTAGGTCCCATTTGTAGTCATGAATCGCTACACGACGGATCAACGCGTGGTCATAGATAAAGTGCACCACAAGTACGGAAGCTGCGCGCTTTTACGGCCGGGACAATGCACCAAATGAGCCATCTGTCCGAAGATTGATTTCTAAGTTCGAATAAATTGGCTCAGTTTTATTCTGGGGATATTTAAAGTTGCTTATTTTCGCCAATAATCCTCAACCAATCCGAGACTTGAAGGAGGAAATGATTCGTGCCATTAATGGAATTCAACAGGAAGTGTGTGAAAAAGTGATGGAAAACTTTGTCAAGAGATGTCGGGCCTCTCAGTATTCAGCAGGTTGGCACTTACAAGACATAATACTCAATTACTAATCGGAGATACTATGCTTTAAGATTCATGTTTCATATTGTAAATTTAGCATGAAAATATATGGTTTATTAACATTTTAAATCCGGCGTTCTTATTGGGACACCCTTTACATATACTAATACTATTCTAACCAACCTAAACATATTCTCTAAATACATTATAGCTCCAATCATTCAAATAAATCGGGACCATACCACATTAGAGTAATCAAAAATTAGGATAATTGCATTTTTGCGTCTGCAAAGACTATGTGATCCAAATTTTTTTCATCAAATCATTCCATATTTTTTAAACTTCAGGGTAGTCTAGTTTTTTTTACCAAGACTATTTTTTTAGGCAATTCCAATTGTGATTCACTAAACAAACCAAAAACAGCCATTACGCCCTTCTGTCCAGAATGTGTGTCCAAAATTTCTCAAAAAATATCCTAAAGTCAAACCTCCAGCTAGACTGGAAAACTTCTCATGCCAGGGTGTGTGTAAACAATAAATAAAACCAAAAACAAAACTGAAATCTGAACCGAAGATATAATATAGGTTAAAGCAGGTCAAGGGAAGCATTTGCACTCAATCCGCAACCACAAGACTCACCCAAGTGAAATCTTGCCCCAGACGAGTCGCCTATTCAACAAATAATCTCTTAATAATAAACTTTGTTAGGTTGTAAATAAATGACACAAGGTTAAAAAGGTGAAAAAAGTGATTCTAGTTAGAACCATATATATATTTTTAATGCATGAGCTTAAACTGTAAACAAAGATTTACTATATGTAATGTCTCAACCATGTGCCAGCAACACAACATGTCCGTAATCATTATTAGTATTATTTGACCAAATTGTTGTTACATTTTTTTGTGCTCTTGTATTTGTGCGTATTTACGTGTTTATAACAACTCTTTGCAAGTTCAGTGATGAAGAGGATTCACAAAAACTTTGTTATTAAACTTGAAAATTAAACTTTAGTTTCAGAAACATTTGCCTTCCAAAAAATATCAAAATGAAGGTATTTGAGCCTTTTATTTAGCAACTAATATAATGGTTTTAAATACCTTCAGTCACCAGTTCAAAATAAGTCAGCTGTTGCAACCGACTTTTATTTCTAACCGAGTTATTTAGTAAAAACTTTTATAAAACTTGAATATACTTTTATTTAGTGTAAACATCATGTAGTGGCTAACAATGATTAAAAATGCATTTACCAGGATTCCTTTAAATTCATTGCTCCATCATTAATGATTTATATTTTTATGTGTAAGCAAGCTCAATCTCAAAAAGCAGGTCAATTTTATTTGTGAGTGTTAGAGCAAGGAATTACATAATGACTAAATACTTTTCACAAACACCTTTTGATTCTCCAACAATAACTTTTACATAAAATGTAGATTATTAAGAACTTGACCTGAATATACATAAGCAACAGTGAGAGATGCCACGAAATAGTTACTTGTAACACATTCGTATAAAGAGGTAAAAATTTAAAATATATGTTCATTGACTGACTTATACTATAAAAGTAATGAAGGAATTGCCCTTTTCTGTGGGAGTCTTGATCTCTGAACCAGCCCATTTAAGTGTCCTGTTTTATTGTTGGTTTTCAAACTGGTAGAATCATTTTTATTTTATTTGTACTTTTTGATGGATTATAACATAACATGATTTTGATACAGTAGTAAATGGCTATGACAAAAGATTAAAAGCATGACCTTACCTTCAAGGTAGTTAACAAGTTGTGGAATCTTGTGGTCCCATATCTTGGCTAAAGAGGGTTGTAGGTGGGGACAGTAGTGCTGGAGAAAATTGAGCAAATACGGCCCTCGGTTGTTGTTGAGAGGACTCCCAAGTAGAGCGAGGCACCGAGCGAACACCGCAGGGGGGGAGGGGATGCCACCACCGTTCTCTACAAGAGAAATTGTCAATACAGTAAAAAGTAACAATGCATTCATATAAAGTAACAATACACAGTTATTGTTTACAATGATTAAGGAAGACACAGATGGTTTGTAGGTAAGGTAAAGCATGTACAAGAGAAGATTGGAGAAATGGAGGCAGATGGATGGTGGTAGAATGGAGATATGGAAGAATATGGAAAGACCTAGTTGATGCCTAGACCTGAGTATAACCAGAATCGAAGAGGATATGCCCATTTATACGTATTGTCTGTTATATTTCAGTTACTACGATTCATTACGATGAATAGAACAGTAATTAATGAAAAAAGGAGTTAAAATATAACTAGAACCTTTTAGAAATTTTTAAATATGGGTCATGTCAACTTCTTCAAAAGTTATTTGTTAAATCAAATCATTGGAATATGATACTTAACAGTAATTTATTTGCATTATTATGTCATAATATTATGTTTGGAATTAAGATGTCTTTTTTTTTATTTAGACCTATATCTTTTGTCATTTTGAACAATTGAACAACATTTAAACTGTAAGCTGAAGACTTTAAGTACTTGTTTTCAAATCTGAATACTACTGCTTCAACCCCAAACAGTTTTAATTCTGGATTTGGACGCCTTTCATATTTAGACTATCGATGAACGATGAATAAAACGTCGAAGTTAAGTAGGGGTTTAAACCATTCCCTTACGAGAAATTTAAAAAATCCTTATGTCTTAGAAATAAACAAATAACATTAAGGTCATCTGGGTCAAGAGGAGTAGAACCAAAAATATTTACAAATCCAATCCTTATATTTGTGAGCAAAGACATTTTAACAAGTCACAAAAAAGTGACACCTTGCTATCGTCTAAATATTTATTAATGTTTCCACTAACTTGTAACCATCTGATTGTTTCGCTTGACAGCCAAATGTGCCAGAGAGCGTGCCATAGTGGCACATGCAGGGTCATACTCTGGTATCAGCAATAGCCTCAGCAGCACAGACCACAGCAGTGACTCTACCTCAGCCACTGTGGTGCTCAGCAAATACACTGTACTGGAACACATGGCACGTAGCTCCTCCCATTCTGGCCCCTACAACAATACATATGCAATAGTATTTTAGAAATAAGTTGGTTTTTGAGGTAGGTTGTCAGTTTTACCAGGCTTGAGATAAAAAACGAAAAAAACAGAGATTTCATGGAAAATGTCAGGTTCTGTTTATAGCTAGTCATACAGTAATTTTGCAGAGATCGTGTGATACAATTGCTACTCCTTCACGGTCACTAGGGACGTACAAGATTTAGCCGCAATTGCGGGTAACGATGATGTCACACAAAACATTTACGTTTTCGCTACGGTCACAGTAAACAAAGATAATGTTTCAATGATTGGGGAATACAATGTTGACGTTAACAAGACTGTGATATATTCAGGAATTTGCCGTGGTCTGGAAAACAATGATGACGTCAAGAAGATTGTGATATATTCAGGATTTTGCTGTGATCGTGAAAGACTAGGATAAGGTTAACAAAACCGCAGTAGATTTGGTTGTTATCACGAATGACGATCATGACGTCCATATGACCAGGAGAGATATTGATGTGATTACAGAAGACAATGATGTCAACATGGCCGCCAGGGATATTCAGTATTTTGCCACGACTGTTGAATGATGTTCATGTTAATAACACCACTGTACAAATTCATGATTTGGCCGTCATAGCATGTGATGATTATGATTGTGAAAGTCTTCACAATCAAAGGGGTTCAATATTTTAGCCGCAATCGCTGAAGATATCGTCACGATCAGGGTGAATTTTCAAGATTTTTCAATTATTGCTTGTGACGATCAAGTCTTCTTTATCGTGGAAGATGTTTTAAGATATTTCTGCGATCGTTGGGGACAGTGAGTGGTTATGTCTTCGCAATGGCGGGGGGTGTTCAATGCACTCTAAACCAAATTTATGGATAGCAAAACCAAATACTGCTTTTCTATCAGCAGCCATACAAGAAATGGGTTGAAACATTAAATATTGTAGTAATGATGAGTGTTAAGGGATACTGTAATAATAACTTTAAGGCTTATTGCATTAATTTTTCATCAATATTTAGTGAAATTAAAGTTTTAACTGCAATAGTTTCTGTAACAACATAAATCTACCATCACCAACAGCAAACCTTAATAATTTGTTGCAATTTAATTCATTTAAAACCGAAAATGTTTTAAAAAGACAACCAATAAAACAACACAAATGTAACTGAAACTGAACCGATTAAAATTGTGACTGACACATCATTAGTATATTTCAACGCTAAGGCCTACAGTGACTCTTTTTGTCACAAATTCTAGTTTTACGACAGAGGTGAACTGAGGATGGTAAAATAGCTAGGGTCAAAAAGACACTTTCAGCCCGTGTGATGAATCGTGTATTACTGTATATCATACAGTACTAGCTGTACCTGCACCACAAAACTAAGATTTTATAGACTGTTTATACTACTAAGTTACCTTCTAAAATGGATGCCTAAACATTAATTAAATTTCTTCTTTTACATGTTTTGATGTTTAATTAGCTAGGAAGGCTAATTAGTGTCCAAAAGATTCATGACGGCTAGCACTTTCTTGAATAATCAAAAAAGTGTTACACCTATCCACAATTTCATGTCAATTACCACTAACTTCACTACATATTGTGGCTCTTCAAGTAAGAGTGGTATGAAAATATACTCACAGAGAAGTTGGGATTTGGGCAGCAATGTCTCACGAGGAATTCTACAAAGTCTGAGCCATCTTCAGCATTTCCACGGCATGCTAGAGACACTATAGTCTTCAAAAGTGCTTTCTTGATCTGAGGAAAACAACTTTCAAATTAACTAAGTTAAGGAACAGTTAAACAAATTTTATTTGGCATTGACAAAAATTTGAGTCTTCCTAAAAGGGCAATATTGTGATGGACTTGGAGTTTCAGATTGTAAAGGTGTAAAGGTTTCAGATTGTCAAGACCTAGAGATATTTAAATGATTAATCGCCACTAACTATTACAGGATAAAAATTACAGGACTTTTATGACAGATTTCGTTTTGGTTAATCACAATGGTAAATTAATTCCTTACACATCTCCTAAATTCATTTTTTCTCTCTTATAGTGGTCAGTAAAAGATAACAAATTCCCAACAAGCTACAATTAGTTTAATACATACAACAAAGTTGCTGTTATGATCAACACCAATACATTTTTAATATCAAAAACATGTCCCAAAAACAAATAGTTTTTTTCTTCTAGGTTTAAAAAAAATGTGCTCCACAAAGCTGCAACAAGGTGGTCTTAGAAAAACAACACCAAAGTGCCGCTGCCCATGGTTAAGTCAGTACTTACTTGATGTTTAGGAAATGTTGAAACCATATTCAATATGTAAAATTGTACATTTTCCCTCAATGACTGCAATACCACATTGAACAGTTACTTTTTGAAAATTGTGTTACCGTATACATATGAATACAACAATTGAGTCTATTAATTACATACTTTGATTCTTTTTTATTTCTAGTTCCAAACAAGTTCTTATTTTCCCAAATTCATTTAGTTCACTCCAACAACATTTTTTAAGCAACCTAGCAAATTCACAGGCAGCCCTTGCTTATGTCTTCTGATTCACTATAGGCCTTTATGTGTGACAAAATTTAATAGCTACAACAATATCTTTCATCTCAATTTTATTTTAGCAATTTATTTGACAAAGGTTAGGATTTATTGAAACCTTTTTAACTATTCTTGTTGAATAAAAGCTATATTACACGTAAAAGTTTAGCGTTCTTTACCCTGACAGAGTTGCAAGTTAGTAGCAGTCTAAGTGCAGCAGTTATATCTTGCACTCTCGGTTGTAACACGTTCTCCGAGCCCGACAAAAGATGAGCCGCAACAATCAACGCCTCTACCCTCTCTTTTTCTGAGCCGGAACTGAGCTGCCGAACTAGCAAATCAGCTGTACGCTGAGGGAAATGACCACCTGGAAAATCAATGAGCAATATGTAAAAAACATTTAAAAAGAAATATGGTGTTAGACAATTTTTAACAAACTAGTTGATGTCAGAGTGGTTGGAGTTAGCACCTTTTAATCCCGGGTCTATCCATATCAAGTGATCCAACAGGGGTTGCTTGACCATTTTTAAAATAAATAATATTTTTATCCTAGATGCCTTTATCAATTCTGGGTTCAAGAGTTATTTTAAAATTTTTTTATCTATTTTGTTACTCCTACGGCGGCCATTTTTGTTTTGAGGAACACGCAAATTTTTGCTCATGTAAGGGTTTGCGTTAACTTGCACAACTCGGTAACCATGAACACTAGAGTGATGAAACAAAAAGCATTTTAATCTGGAAGAAACAGCCTAAATATTATGTTCAGTACATATTTATTGAAATGTGTATCAAAAACAGTTTTAAACCCATCTCAACATTTCATAAGAAAACAGAAAAATTTCAACTTTTGAAGGCGTATTACCATTGGAACGAATAAAATCTCAGACTTGATTTTTTTTGTGTGTGTAGCAACTCAGTAGAACTGTTTGTATTTCAAATATCAACCATGAGACTTAATTCCTTTAAAAGTTATCATTTTTCAAAAACTGAAATTTTTTGAAAAATTCAAATTTTGAGTCTCAATATCTTTGTTGGGACAAAGTTTAAAAATCTGAAATGTTTACCAAAAACCCCTCTTATGGTTGTTATACTGCTGTATGAATTTCATCTTTGAGATTTACTTTTAAGCTAAGTTACAGTATCATGAAAATCGCAAAAACCCCATAAGCTCGGCCAACGCGGCTAGTACTGTAGGTAGCTTAAAAGTTAAAAATTAATTTATAGGTGTAGGTAATTATTTTATTTAATGTAAACTTACCTAACTTACTTTAAAGTAATGTATAGCCTTTTCTTGCAAATTTCTTGTCTTATGTGAAATAAAAAAAAACTTTTTATCACATTATTTTAATTCAGGTTTACACCTTTTTTTCAATAGGCCTAAATATTTTGAACTCATTTATTAATTTATTGAACCACTTTCATTTTAATAAAGAATATTAGAAATTTCACATACAAAAGCTGTTTGAAAGACAAGTTCTTAAAGTATACAACTTTTTTTACTTGTTAGTGTTTTTTGTTCTGCTTTGATCATGCTAATTAGGAAGTTTGGATGTTTCTTTATTCAGTTTGGGTTTGTCCTTTCAGTGGTTTTTGTCAGTTAAAAGAGATTTTATTTTCTCAAAACTTTGTTTATAGGCACCCAAGCTTGGTCTTTCTAATTTGTTTTAAAGGCGGTTGGTTGTTGGTCCTGCTGGATCTTTATTTTGATAACTGATGTCAATCACCTCTGCCACCCACCACTGTCATACACAAATGCAATAGAGTCTTTGGTATGAAGTGTAATTTTTACAGCTTTCAGTTGCTAGTGAGGTTACGAAGCACCTAACATTACTACTGTCCGGTACAGGAATAAAACAACGGAAGCTTCTTGTTCCAGTAATCTTTAAACAGTTCTCAAATCGGTCCAGGAGTTTGTTGTTGTGGTGTTGAGTGATTTCTTCATCTGTTATAAAAATGAATTATTTTGTTAAGAAAAACTGTTTTGTGACTCATTTACGACTTCCTGTAGGTACTGGAGATTGTATCAGTTCCCACGGAATATGAGTTATTTTTTTTCAAAATACCACGATAAACACTTTATTGATTTGTGTTATATACAGGTTACGGTACATTAAATCTAAATGGAAAATAAATTTTAAGACCTCAATATAAATAGAATTAACTAGGTTTTATTTAAGTTAAATGATGAATAAAACTTAAAATTTAGCAGGATTTTATTTATTTTTTTTAGTACCTAAGCGGTACACATAGGCCTAATTTGTACTTTGGGTACAAAGTTTAAGTTAAAAATCTGTTTTGGATTTTTGAAATGTACATTAAGATAAGTTTACATTAAATAAAATAATTACCTACACCTATAAATTAATTTTTAACTTTTAAGCTACCTACAGTACTAGCCGCGTTGGCCGAGCTTATGGGGTTTTTGCGATTTTCATGATACTGTAACTTAGCTTAAAAGTAAATCTCAAAGATGAAATTCATACAGCAGTATAACAACCATAAGAGGGGTTTTTGGTAAACATTTCAGATTTTTAAACTTTGTCCCAACAAAGATATTGAGACTCAAAATTTGAATTTTTCAAAAAATTTCAGTTTTTGAAAAATGATAACTTTTAAAGGAATTAAGTCTCATGGTTGATATTTGAAATACAAACAGTTCTACTGAGTTGCTACACACACAAAAAAAATCAAGTCTGAGATTTTATTCGTTCCAATGGTAATACGCCTTCAAAAGTTGAAATTTTTCTGTTTTCTTATGAAATGTTGAGATGGGTTTAAAACTGTTTTTGATACACATTTCAATAAATATGTACTGAACATAATATTTAGGCTGTTTCTTCCAGATTAAAATGCTTTTTGTTTCATCACTCTAGTGTTCATGGTTACCGAGTTGTGCAAGTTAATGCAAACCCTTACATGAGCAAAAATGTGCGTGTTCCGTAAAACAAAAATGGCCGCCGTAGAAGTAACAAAAGAGATAAAAAAAAATTAAAATCACTTTTGAACCCAGAATTGATAGAGGTATCTTGGATAAAATTATTATTTATTTTAAAAATGGTCAAGCAACCAATTATTTTATTTCTGGATCACTTGATATGGATTGACCCTCCCAGGTTAGCTAGATCAAGCCTGAATAAATTCTAAAAATTGTCAATGCTTTATTGAATACCTAGTTAAAAATATACAAAGTATAATAAATATGTCATGGAAATTAAAATATATATAAAAGTTACGTTGATTTAACCTTGATATAAGTTAACATATCTGTTGGTAATGAATGACTCTTTTTCTGTTAAGTTTTCTATATAGGAGACACCTGTAATTTTTTCAAACCTGGTCATGTTACACACAACAACGGTTATGGCATTGACCTCTTGTTAGATAGCATCATTAATTGATGGACTATGACAAATGGTTTACAAAAGAGTTATTGAATAGTATACATATTATGTCAGTAATTGACTATCTAAACATGTCAGATAATTGTGTATTTGTTCATTATCGGGACTACTAAAACACATTAAATTTTTAATAGCAATGTTTATAACCGTATCTAAAAAAACAAAACCATACGATTATAAATGATTACACAAATACACTACTATTGACTATCTCATTTTCAAGTTACTCAATTTTTAAACAGGATGTAATATTGACTCACCTAACTTGTCGTAGCACCTGAGGACTTCACTGTGATTTTTCACTGTTTGTGGATTTGTGTAGTCTGGACTAACAACAACCTAAACAAACACAACTAATATTAATCAAGAAATGTATTTTGTTGTTTTTAGTTTAAAGGGGAAACTACGGTATTTATTAATTGAGAAAATTACTGGGCAAAATTATTATATTTGATGTGTTTTGATGAAATGCTAGTAAATACAGGGAAGAAAAAGATCTCTAGATCTAAGTGTTGCTGTGCATAGTATCCACAGCTTTATTGAACTTAACTCCTCTCTATTTGGTAATCAATATTTAGACATCATGGGTTAGCTAGGCAAAATTACATAATAAAATATAACTTACCTACACAAATTTGAAAGTGTAATCATAAAATTTCTTGGTTATCTTTAACTTAAGAGTGCTCTTTTGGAAATTCAGATGTATTTATTGCATCGTTCAATCTGATTTAATAAACACTTTAGAATGTGGGCCTACTACTTGATGATAACTCCTTCTATCCTTCAGTGTCCCCTTACCGCACAACACTCCCGTTTCATCACTATGTACTGTAGTTCAAACATATTTATTTGTACCCCTTCGTCCCCTTCCCCCAAATGTTATTTATCTTTGATTAGCTCTCCCGTTATCTTACATGTAACACGATTAATCGTAATTGTGAAATGACTTAGTTGTCTTTTACACAAAGTGTATTTCGTAAGATAAACATGAGAGCATCCAATTATTATAAGAAATTAGAATTTTTTTTAGTTTTGGTAGCTCAAAAGTAGAATTTTGGTTTGGTGAAGCTGGTTTGAGATCAGTCGTCTGCTTTTCTCTCATCATTGAATCATTTTAGTCACTACTGGCTTGCCTTCGGACTTGCACCATAACAGTACTTCAATGCCTTTAGATCAACACATGGTTCAGTAGTCTACGAGAGACAATTAAGGTTTACAAAAGATTCATTAAATTTAACATAAGGTATAAAAACTGTAAATATAAATAATAATATTGTACTTAATGGAAATAAATTCTGAACAAACCATATGTCCGAGCACTGATATCAGCTGATCGTAGAGAGGTTCTATAGCTTGAGAAGGAGCAGCTTGTAAGATAGAAGCCAAACACTGAGTGATAGGGAAGTGGTTGCTAGATTGACTCCGTTTGTACATGTTCAACAACACTGTTATTGTCTTGGTCGCGTACTCCGGTTGTTTGTCTTCACACACCAGGGGAAACATCGGTCCGACAGCAATAATCACATTCTCTGTGATCTGAAATTTGAAATACTACATTAAAACATAAATAAAAAAGTTTGTATCTTGAGATAAATCTGGTATTTTATAACTAAAAATAAAACTAACTAATTGATACCATTTTACAGTCTGCTTAAAAATCCATATGTATATATATATATAGCACAATGACACTCTGGCCCAATAAAATAGTATAGTTGTGAGTAAGAGATTGTGCGTAGCATGTACTATGATAGAAAGATGACGTTTTAGAACTGTTTAAGAGACAACAGTTTTGTTTTACCAAAACCCGGAAACTTATATTTTTTTACCTTGCGCAATTGCTTTTTATTTTTGTTCACCATTACACTTTAAACATAAAACACACTCCTGAATCAATTGGTCAGCTGGAATGCTCCTTGTTAATTTAGTTTTTAGCTCATACGGTAGACAAAATCTTAACAGACCACGAATCAACCACCACTTGAATTAAAAGTCTCTGCCCAAGCGAAAATTGAGGTTGATTTATCCACAGACAAAAACTGGTTGTACAACCAGTGTAGGTTACACCAACGATCACATAAGACCAATGGATGGGGGACAGTGGCCAGTAAAGCAAGGATTTTTCACAAATCCATCATAATAAAATTAAATTCCACTGAAACTTAAATAATAAAAGCTGAAATGAGTTATAAAGATAACGCAAGTTTCCATACCGAGCCATGGCTCTGTCCCCCTGTACTTATTTATTAACAAAGAACATTCCTCTAATTCTCACCTTAGACTCTTTGGCCTGTAACCATGATGTCAGCAGTATCTCATAGGCCGCAGTGATCCCGTCAGTGAATGCTTCTCTTGTGACACTTGGAACTATGTCTCCTAATTGTCCATCCTCTTTAAGTTTCTCAGTGCTCAAGTACTCTAACACTGCCTCACTGAACCTTCCAAGAGCTGGGGACATTTAAAACATTAGAAATATGTGGGATTTACAAAAAAATATATTTTTAAAAATATTTCTTTCAAAATTTATGTTTCTGGCCCCTGCACTATATTGTTAAGACAATAATAGGGTTTTTCATACCTCCGCCAAATAGTCTAACGATTAATATAGCTCATCAGCTTACAAAGTTGCAAGCTTTAAAAATGTTGTCTTCGCAACGAAACATGTAAGCTGAGCAATATTACTCGTTGGACTATTTGACGGAGGTATGTAAAAACCTATTGTTGTCTTATATTTCTTTTGTTATATAGTTATTGATTGATATTTTTAAGGAGGAAAGTGCTCTATGAAAGAGAGGTATATTTTCTTGTCTGAGAGAATTAATCTTCTTTATACCCTTATACATATTAAATAGAGAAATCATTGTTTTTATCTAATCATTCTAGTTTGATTAAGTTTCAAGTGGAAGTATATTTTAACCAAGAAGATATTTACCAAAATACCGAAAAATAAGTTGTTTCGTTACGGTTTCAAATTGGATCTAGCAGTCATTAATCAACAGGCTTTGAATAACTAGTCTAGCTAAACACCTGCGTAGACAGTAAAAAATCGTTCATTATACCCATTCACAACTCAACCTTCAGTTATCTTTGCCTTAAAATACACACCTTGGTGTAGCAATCCAAGCTAACTAAAAACCCTTTCATTTAACGTCAAGACCCTGCAAGAGAACTCATATATTTTGTCAAGTTGGTAATTGTCGTTTCAGTAAAAGCAGTTCAGGTGTTTACGTACCAAAAGAGAAGACTTGTCTGATGGGGTCGTTGCGGATGGTTGGCAGCAGTGGGAGCATGAGGTCAAGGACTGACTTGATGAAGGGCACAAACTCAGGGATATTTGCTGAGGCGAGGTTGGCCATCGTGTGCATTACTGTGTAGTGTGGCACAGTGTTGGCCTCTAGCTTTTGAATCAGCCCTGAAATAACCTGACCACAAAACACTTCAGATTAGTGTTTTATGAGGATTCGTGTAGTTAAGAATTACAAATTTATTAGTTTTTTTTAGCTTCTACCGATTTTCTATTATAACAGTTTTGACAAGATAATGGGAGAAAGTATGTGTCAGTTTGCTGATACCATTAATTATTTTATACTTTGCTTCAGACATGATGCTTCTTAGTTAGACTGACTCAAATGACAGTTTAAGTTACATCTCTACAGCCTTACCTGGCATCAGTTACTTTCTAAACACTAAACAGTATAGATTAAAAAAAAAGCCAAATGGCTGATTGGGAGATTTTTTACCAAGGGGTAGACTTCAGCTAATTTACCTGAGAATGTTACGTTTGAGTTCAGGGGGTACAAACACAATTAAAGGTCACACAGGTTTACCACCTTTAACTTATTGTGTATCTCTAAGCTCCTGGAATCCGGTATTTAATTTGTTCAGGTAAGCTTTCTGAACAGTTTGTAGTATAATATTTCCCGACTCAAACAATACATTTTGTAGCTTTGCACATTCAAAGGGCATTTCAAGATCAACTTTTTTGTCTATAACACTATCAAAGTTAATGATACTAATTAAAAACTTTAAAGTTGGACAGATTATGTTCTCAATACAAACCAGCCACATCTGGCAGCTAAATATTGTTTTGATTACATTCCGAATATTGGAGTTTGGGTGAATAGGCAATACTTAAAAAACTAGCGGACATGAAGATCACAACAATTGTATTGTTAATCTGATTTTGTAAGGGCTACAAAGAATGGAACTACCAAGAACTGTAATACAAAAACCACATGAGCTTAAATATTGGTCTAGTACAAAAATCTACCGTCCTCTAAAAATGATCCCTTTGAAGATGTTTGTTCTACAACACTTACATCGGAACAATGCTTCTGTCCCAAGGACACTAGCATGTTGGACACGGGGAACTGTATGTTGGGAAGATACTCAGAACATTTGGTCATCTCGTCTACACAATAAGTCACCAGCTGTTTCACCGTTAGCTCGTCAATATCGTCAGTCTGTTCGTCACAAATCCGCTCCATAGTTGTCAAGATGGTGGCCAAGTGAACGGAGTTCAGCTGGAAGAAGAGCGTTGTGTTAAAGCAATTTATATCCCTGGTGGGTTAGCTGGTGAAATGTGTTATGTACCGGTAAATCCCCATTAATAAAGAGTTGGCTTAATCTAGACAGCAACAAGACAACAGTTTGTGACAGTTTATGAGAATTTTTACAGCTAATTAAAAATGTGCCACTATGAAATAGAGTTTTGTTGTGTAAATATGTTGTAATTGTATTTCAAACAATTTAAGCTTATTTTCTGTGTAGGTGATGATTTATAGTTTACTCCAAAATCTATATATATTTTTATGAAAGAAATATCAATCTTATTGTAGGCCCTAGAGCAAAGGCAAAGAATCACGTTTTCACATGCTAAGGTTTTTTAGGTAAAAAAATAAATAAAAACAAACAAAACTCTTAGCTTGTATTACAAGTTTTTGTTAATTGAGTATTCTGTAGTTTTTACTAGGGATGGACGGGTCCCGAAATTTCGGGAATTTATCGGGAAAAAAATATTCCCGATTATCGGGACGGGATTACATTTGACTCGGGAATTTTTCGGGACGGGATTTGGTCCGATCGTCGGCGATTTTTCCGCTTCGCGAGTGCTGATAACGCCATTATTGCGAGCGATAGGTCCGTGAACGCAGGGGACGAAGTCATTTCGACGATTACGCCGTGACCGCGGAGTCATAACGACGATCGCGCCGTGGCCGCGATTATTGGACCGACGATCGCACCGTGACCGCGAGTCATAACGACGATCGGGCTGTGACCGCGAGTCATGACGACGATCGCGCCGTGACCGTGAGTCGTACAGACGATCACCCCGTGACCCGCGAGTCACAAGTTTCTATAGGTACCTGTAAATTGTTACCCATTTTTTTGTTTTTATAGATCAGTGCCACAAATGGTAAAAATTGATTTTGTATGTCTTTTTTGGTAACTGCAATACAGTACTTTCTTTTTATGCACAGAAAAAAATCCCGTCTCGTCCCGTCCCGAAAATCGGGAAGGAAATAAAAATCCCGTCCCGAACTAAAAATTCAATCCCGTCCATCCCTAGTTTTTACATAAAATATTTAAAGTGTTGAGAAACATATCATTTACAGACCTGTGTCCATAAATTTTTAGTTTTTATGAACTTTCTTAAAACTACACATTGTTTTACAACTTGAGTCAGTATTATATAACCTAAAATTGTAAGGAAAAATACAAAATATAATGCAGGTATATTAGGAAGTACATACAACATACCAATTGTGTTTGATAAGATATTTAATTACCATTCAACTTAAGTCATTAAATTATGACTCAGTCAACAATAGATAACCTATTGATTGTGCAGTTTAGATAAAGCTTAGTAGTTGATACTGAGCTGTAATATTGTCTGGTGTTTTATACAGTATTCTCTGGATGAAAACATTCTCTTTCCTATTATTATTATGGACCAAATTTTATCTTGATTTACGTAGTGACGATTATATAATTGGTTTTTTATAAATTATTATTTACTATTAAAGAGAAAATTAAATTTTGCAGGAAAAACTCCTAAAATAACCCCAATGGGCTAATTGCCCACTGAAATGTCGTGATCATTTCATGTTTATTATTTTAATTACATTTAATCTATCTTCTAAATAAAAAAAGCATTACTACACACCAAAACAATTGCAGGGTATAAAACAACAGGCCTAGAAAGTTACTCGCAACTTTGTAAAAATTACTAAGCTTAAGCTATTGTACTTAATTATTTGAACATCAAACCTCTTTGTACAAGGTAAACTATAGAAAACATGTGAAAACTAAAAAGAAATTGTTTATTCTTAATCAGCGTTTTCATAATTTTTATATTTTTTTTAACTCGCATCCACCTTGCATTTATTGCAACTTATGTATTAGAAAACCTTAATAGCTATTATGACTAGGCCCTATAATTGTTTTCATTATACAAAGTGGAGGATGCCTTCCAGCACAAGTAGGCTACATAATTGTAAATTTTACTTCCTCTATTACACTAGCACTAAACTGTAAGAAAAAGTATTTCTAGTTCTAAACAACTAGTTGTTCTAATTTCTCAAATCTGCAACTGTTCACAGTTTGTTTTAAATGTATGTTGCTATATTATTTAGAAAAGGTTCTATTGTTTTGTAGCAAGAAGAATTAACAGTTGTCAGAGAGGTATGTTGAAATTTTTTACAATTTCTAACATTTTCATTTTTCTTAACAACACTTGGAAAATGTTTAATCTTTTCCCACAACCCACTAGTCAGTCTCAACTCATACCTAGGAAAGGAAACTGTATAACTAGAGTTTACTCATAATCAATAGCAGTAAAATTTCACAATAAGAACATATGAGCGTTTCAGAATCTAAAAATAAGTTTATTGACAAATAATTTTACCTTTGGGTTCTTCTGACGGTAGGCGACTGCACTTTGAAGTACGTGAACTGCGTACTTCTTGGCGAGTCTGCGTAGTGACGAAGACACAGAGTCTCGCACACTTTCATCTTTGTCTCCGGCTGCGTCTAAGAGAGTGTTGATTGTCACTGAAACAGTAAAAAATGTTTTTCAACTATTCAACTACACCAAATTTGTTGACATGAGTCTCTTGTCACTTAAAACAAAGGTGATTGGTCTTCCGCCTGAAAAGGGTTCTAGGTAAAGAGCTTTCTAGTACCGAAGGTTGTATTGAGAAGGAAAGCCGACAGGCTAGAAAGGATTTTTTTTAAAGGAATATAGTTCAGCTCTGAGCTTACCTAAGAAAATTAGTGTCCAGAGGCTAGATACACAATAGATAGAGTAATGTAATATTTTATGTTATTTTATTGTGTATATTTATTAGCCCCCACACTCTCATTTTTTCAGTTAACCTAGCTGAACTCTATTCCTTTTCAAAAATTGCTTCCTAGTACCTAGTCATTGGTGGTGGGCCCACTATTTTATGTAATTCATACTTCAATAGACTAATTGATTACATGTCCTATTACCAATGTTTGTGACATGCTATTTTTTATTCAAATGTTGAACCGGAGCTAAGTTACTAAAACCCTGTTGTTTGTTGCTTAAAGTTGCTGTACCAATATGTTTCAAAAGCAGATTTACATTTTAAAAGAAAAATTACCAACATTTTTATTTTATTTTAATAAAAACACAGTCGAGTAAACAACTATTTTTGCTACACTACTGTGAAATGACCTGTTTTCGTTGCATGTTTATCACCTGTGAAAATTTATCATTACATTGTTTACTACGGCAAAAGGATGTTTACTATGCAATAGTTATTTGTGTAACTAGTGGGCAAAGTGGCACTTTGCTGCACACAAGAGAAATGTTAATGATGGAATGATCTCGAGTGCAGCAAAGGCCTTTTACACTCGTGTTACACATTATATTTTTCCTACAGTCACTATAAAGCATATAAATAATTAGTCTTTCAAACACTATACAACACGTTTTTAGGTTCAGCTGGCAACACAAATAGGTGCCCTAGAGAAAGTAGTACCCGGTCCGTATCACTCCGCTATTTTTCCTCGGCAAGAAATGTGCTCCGCGTTTTGAGAATATAGTTCCGTATGTTTTTGTAATTTGAAGTGGTTTAAATGGTTTGAAGTGGTTGAAGTGGATTTCTAAAAAAATGCTTTAAAGGTATTTTCTTGTTTATTAAGATCGTAGGAATGTTTTAAAAACGTTTAAAAGAAAACTCCAGAAAGTTCAGAAATACCGAAACTATAAACACAAAATGACAGGTTAAATCGTAGTTATAATAGTCCATTCAGCTGCTCATAGTATTATTATCTTTAAGTGTTGCCAACCTATTTCCAAGCGTACACGGATTACGTGCATAATAGAACCACACCGTTTTGTGTTGTTTCGTTGGAATCCTGATGTGCGGCAAAGTATAAACCGTACGGCAAAGTATAAATATGCAGCAATTAGCAGCTTTCTGTACTATAAACAGTACAAGGAAGCCAACTTTGTCGGGTGACTGTAGGAAAAAGTAATTTTTACTATTTTTTATATTTTGCCGACGTAAAGTAGCAAATATTTGTTATTTTGTTATTTATTTATCAACTGTTTTAATTTTCAACAACTAAAGTAAATATTAACTTTTGATTGAAGGCATAACCTAATAATTCAATGAGTTTTGAAGAAAATAATTAATTTTTTGTAGTGTAGCGAAAAGTAACGTTCAAAACACAAGTAAAAGTAAGTCTATACACATTCTCGACCATTTAAAGTGTTCGATAAATCTCGCACTTCAAACATGGTCTCAAATATGTAATGACTCACTTTCTATTTTTTTAATGAAGTATACTATTTAAATTACCATAATGCACGAAGAAAATGCCTTACAAATATAAAAATTCTTTAATTGTAGGCTACAATATATTAGTGTGCTTACTTAATTACTAACTTTTTAAGAGTATTTTTTTTATTGAGAAAAGTTTAGTTTGTGTATGCAGGTTAAGTGTTTGAAAGGGACATGTTACATGGCACTTAACTTTGACTGTTAAAATAAAGGATTTTAATTTCATACATTCATTTAACATGTGAACCAAACATTTACAGTATACAGTACTTAGATTTAGAATTAACTCAAAAAATAAATGTATTTTGTAATAAAACAAACAATTATTTTATCTTGTTAACATTTGTTGGAATTTATATTAGTAAGCAACAAAACTCTTCTGGTGAATTTTTAACTAGGTTATTCCCTAAAAGTAAAATTTACTTATTTCCAATGATTCACTTAATACTCACATTCAAGTTGTGGTACGATTATGACTCGATTTGACATAAGAGTAACTAAATAATTTAAATGGCTGAGCATTTTGATTTTGTATAAATGGAATTTTCAATGAGAAATCACATCTTCACTAGCAAAACCTTCTGTTATCTAACAGTAGCAGCAGGCCAAGCGTTATCTTCAGTTTGCAATCAATGCCTCATCGGCCTTACTACCTTCTACATGCTGTCACAGGCAGGCTTGCTGCAATTGTTTTGATTTCTAGCACAAAGGTTTCTTTGAACAAGTACTGAGCGTATTTGTAATAACTGATATAAGAAACACTCATTCTCATGTGAGTATGAGTGTATCAAATAAAGTGTAAACAATTACAATCTTTGAGTAACAAGTAAAGCTATTACAAAAAATAAGTTTTAAACAATAACACAAAAGCAAAGGTAAACTAAAACTAGTACGACAGTAAAACATCCCAGCTGTAGCACACCTGCAGACTAAGCAAATTTCTATTTGGCTGATTGGATTTTGACCAAAATATTTCCTTAAAAAGTCAGATTTATCCCTTTTTCAAATATCATTAGGTTTATCAAGTAATTATGTTTACTGCTATTGGAAAGGAAAGTGTGTTTTTTATGTTAATAGTTTTGTGTGTAGTAAATCAAACTGAAAAATTGGATTTTATCAAAATGTATCCATAAACAAGCAAAATACCAGTACATCAATTTACTTACTCTCAGAAAATGGTTTTGAGGGGAACTTTTTGGTGTTTTTCGATCAAAAGTTAATAGTAGAGGGTCAAGTAAATAAATTTGCTGAATGTGATCAAATTATATCCATAAACAAGCAAACTACAAGAGTTGTATTTCTCTCTATAAGTAAAAAATGAGAATTTTAAATTAACAGTTTTATTGAAATTTTCTCCGTAACCTTTAATTGTACAACAATGCTTTGATGTACAAAATAGTTTTTTTTCAGCTCTACACGATGGCGTTACGGGTAATGAAAATTGGGCATTTTCATATTGTTTTAAAGATATAAATTGGAAAAAACCAATTTTTGAAAATTTTTAAAATCTTTTAACACCATGTTTCTATATCCCGATGAGATTGGAAACATAGTGTTAGCCAATAAAAATAAATTTCCGATGACTGAGCTGTAATGACTGAATCGTTACTTTTTAAAAATGACTCGATAACAACCGCTCGTAGCTCAGGGGACCACTGCTCTATGACTACAAAAATGGCTTTGTGTAAAGCCCCGCGCGCACTGCGCCGTCACGGCCGGCACGGCCGTCACGGCCGGCCTTTTCCAAAAGTCGTTCCCATGTAATGTAATGGAGGTGCGCGCACTAGGACGGCACGGCCGTCACGGACGCCACCGCCGCCACCGCCGTCTGTCAGAAAGTTCGGAGGAGCGAATCTCAGGACAATTCCGCGGCGTCCGTGACGTCCGTGCTGTCCCAGTGCGCGCACCCCACGGCACGGACGTCACAGAAAGACGTCTAGAAAGGCTCTCCTCTAGGTATCGAAGTAGACATTCGAACTTTTCATGGGGCATCCTAAAGTACTGGAAAAATTTGTCATCGTCCTCTACAAAATCGGGGAATAATGTGTGAAATTCACCAAAACCTAGTCGTTTTCTATTTATATTATGTATCCAAAATCTCGCTTTCCTCTTCCTCTTCCTCTCCTCTTCCTCTTCTCCTACAATTAATCCAACTACCACCACGTCTTCTTCAATATCCATAGCTCCCAGACTCTCACTGCTCACAGCAAAACAACTCAACTGCAAAATACATCAGTCCAAAATGCTGTGACGGCCGTGACGGCCGGCCGTGCCGTCGCAGTGCGCGCACCACCCCTGAAAAAGGCGGTGACGGCCGTGACGGCCGTGACGGCGCAGTGCGCGCGTACCTTAGGTTATCCAACGAGCATACTCCCACCACCCTCAGATGACCTGTTGCTGAACAGTGCACGCTACAGAAAATAGATCGTTTTTTTCCGCACTCTGTATATATATATATACTAGCTGTGTACCCGTTCTACGGACGGGATCTTTTAGTCAGTTGAAACCTTCTTATAATCATAGGCCTATTAGCAGTTGGTTTGCATATTTAGTGTGAATTTTTACAGATGTAGGCAAACTTTGTATACAGCACTCTTTCAAGGTCTTTTTCCCAGTTATCAAAACTCTAGTTGAATTTGTTACCACACACACAGCATCTCCGGTTAACAACCTGAATGATGCCTAGAAATTTAATTTAATTTACAGTTACAGTACATATTATTGCACTTATGATTTATCAAATCCGTTATGGGGGGCACAACATTTTTAATCTCACTTGGTTTTGGATTTTCTTACCAAACTTGATCGGAAATGGTTGCAGTATTTGTAAACAACATTTAATATAAACATATCCAGTGACAGCTAACAAAAATAATCTTTATCCAAACAGCTGTTTGTCATTACATAAGTGTCGTATTCTCCGAACAGATTATTAGTATTTCATAAATTACGTATAAGGAAACATTTTGAGAAAACTTGAAAAAAATCGATCAAAATTGGGTTTTTGAATGTACGTTATTTTATTTCAAAAGTAGTGAGTCCATATTTTAATGGCTAAAGACACTCTTGCAAATCCAGTGAATACACAAAGACTATTTTGAATCCTGATCGATGCTTTTGTTTTTCAGGAGAAGGCCGCGTAAAATGCCCTCTGGGCCATGACAGACAGACAGATATTGAGATAAGACTTGTTTCGGCTTCTTTAATGTATGTAACGTAAAAATAACCAAAAAATATATAATTATGAGCAATGTACAGATCAACATTAATAGGGCACAAGGACATCCCTGACTATCGCCGGTTTAAATTTACAAAATGCATGCTTTCACACGGACAGTTGTATGTTGCGTGCTCACGTGATGGTGCGCCTGACGCCTAAAAACTGATATATTTATACACCTAATGAAAAAACTATAAACATTGTTTATCCACTGGCATTAAAGTAAAATAAAATATTCTACTTTTTTTCTTAGTATATTTTTTTATTATTTATCGTAAACAACAAATTACCATTTTAAATAATTGCAGCAATGCAGGCAGGGTAACACTAGTATCTCAACAAAGTACTGGTACAGAAAGTACCGATATTTCTAAATGGAATCCCATTTTAATTAACTGGGTTGAAAAACATTACCTATTGGTACTAATTTGATCAAATTTGAAAGTTGAAGCTTTTTTACTGACTGGTTCAGGATGAGATAGATAGGTACTCAAAAATACCTATATATATGTCTCTGTTTTTATGCAAAGTCTACTAGTTTACCTGCTTATGCGAGATAATTATAACTTCCAGTCTTCAAATTTGTATTTTTGTGTTACAGAATAAGTGTTTACAGATAAATTTAAAAGTTACAACAAAACATATAAATTATTATAGACCCCACTACAAGCAAAACAAGGTTTTTTTTCAAAATTTGCTAAAGTATTAATCATAAAAAAATTTTAAAATGTGTTTGAATCTGAAACCTCACTACCTAAAAGTACCGTTTCACTAAAAACAAATTCAAACAATGAGCGGATTTTTGTGTCAAGGATTTTAACTGTCAAAACTTAGCTTGGATCAATACAACTGATCTCTTAAAAAGAAAAACAGCTGTGGGATCTATCCTATGCACATAAAATCAGCAGATGTGCCTGATACTGTAATTGTCTGAATGTAAACCCCTTATTAGCAACATTTAGGCTAGGCCCCTACCTTAGTAAAACAATGTCAAGGGCACAAAAGAAAGAGATGTAATACCTATTTAAAAATTGACACTCACTAGGCATTTTTGTGAGTAAGGAATATTATTAGGTGACAGTTATGATAACTGTTTTGTAATTCACCACATGTGCCACGTATGTTTAAACAACTGCTTTTGCCATTTGAGAAAGCTTTGCTAGTGTGATTAAACGCCCAAGCTACCTTTGCTTCAAGCTGAGCGTTTTACAAGTTGTTGCTTGATAATGTAACCAGAGACTGTTCCCATACCTTTTAAAAGATTTAACGTCCTTTGCAATCGTGTGATTATTTAGAGGACACAGATAATTAGTTACCTAAATTCCCAAACATTTTCTTCAAACTCACTTGCTAAAAAGGTACCAGTAAAATTAAATTAAATTTTCAAAATATCTTTTAATTTAAAAGCAGGTTTCTGAGGTGTTATCATGTGACCTTGTACAGACATAGAATAGATAAGAGAATGGTGACTCAGTTATGGTTATTGAATGAGAAAAATGTGCCCTATAAACAGGGTGTTTTGTAACTCTCTCCCGAAAATCCGTGGGCATGTTCCTTAGGCCAAAACAAACAAAAAATAAAAACTTTAACCGTGCAAATGGAAAGATTGTTTGCTGCGGCGGGTATATTGTCCCACATCATTTGCCCTCAAATCAAACCAAAATATAATTCTTGAACAAACCAAAATATAATTCTTGTCCAAGGTCCAATCTAATCCAAGTGCTCCACATAAATTATTGTTTCCTCCATATCGAAAACAACAAACACTAAATACTAATTTGAAATAACAACTTCGCCAATATTTCTGAATTTTAAATTTTTATGAGGCCTTTCGCCAGCTATGCTGGCATCATCAGACACACTGCCCTAATATTGAAATTTCATTTTGATTTTCTTTGAGGCACCTTAAATGCAATTTTAAATTTAGAAGGGCCGTGCAATATCAGAACCTAAACAATATATAAAAGTGATGGCCAAGTTAACTCCTGGGGCTCCATTCGCTAATAGAGCCCAGATGTTTATTTTCTTTTTTTGGGCTAAAGATTAAAGAAAATGTCAGTTAGGTGTCTTGCTTGTGATTCAATAGTGTAGGACTAGATGATAGTGTGTAGTCGATCCTTTCCTATTATTTTTTAAATGTTGAGATCAAACATTTTAATTTTCGTCTAAAACACCTTAAAAAATTACTAACCTAATTGTTTACTTTGAAAACCTAAATGATGGGATTTACTGAATTTGTGTAAGTAAGATCTGTAAATTATTTTTGCAACTAGGGCCTATTTATATGTTGTGGTTGACATTTTACCAGAAGTTTTGCGTACGGTGCTTGGTGATAATCTACAAAGCCAACCCATCTCC